CAACTTATAAATCAATATTATCACAAATTTCTCATTTTCATACAGTACGTCGGAATATGGTCCTAGCTGCAAGATATTAATCAGGACACGCTTAACAAGACAGGATATGCCGACAGCCAGCCAGCCAGACAGACAGACAGATGCTTCAATAAAGTTCAATATGTACAATGTGATTGATTGGTCACCGAAACTTTTGGCTAACATGTTTCAAATGATAATGTTCATATAAGGGTCGAGAGTTTCGGGAAATATTTCATGTCAACTACGAGAGTGTACGGATCACACGAGCATATCATGTATTAATATTCTTCACATGAAGAATCTCAGGGATCACCACGTGCCCTGTGTTAGCACCAGTTGACAGGAATCAGGGTCCGATCCACAAAGCGTTCGTAGCACTACGACATTCGCAAGCCTTTGATAAACTACATAGTTAAGATAGTTCGAAACTGTGCGAACTCCTTGTGTATCGGGACCCAGAAACACTTGTGCATGAATCGTATAACCAGGGATAAACGGACAGTGGAGATTTCCAATGATGAAAAGTCATGTCGTCCCTTTCATTCGACCAAGATGCGATGATGTTAATGGTGGACACTGCGCTACAACCCCCACAGGGCATTAGCTCACTTTCACTCCTTCCAGGCTCCCTTGACAGAAATAAAGATATTTGTTTGAATGTTGCTCATGTTTGAAGGATGTGATATTCTTCCAATGACTTCAGTTAACACAGACTGCTAGCTACAGGGGCCTATTCTAATCCAGAATCCCCAAGCGGGACATCATGAATTATTTCTGTCTTGTTTGGAAATATTTACTTATCATCATTGTCTGTCCCAATGTCTAATGTTGACATTCTAACTCGCTCAGTCTGACAAATCTGGCATCTTTCCATATTTTATGCACATTCAGTTATTTCATCGATACAATCAGGACAATCTCAGACCGACATATCAAGGAAACACTATTTGGATTGACTATTTAAGACAATATTTTCTTTTATTAGGAACAACAGATACCTGAACAGCCACTAGCTCAATATTGGAATGGATTTCACACATCAACCCTCACTGACACATTGAGACTGACACTTTCTCACATTGTACTGCCAGGGCAGTTATGTACCTTATCATTAACAGCTTGTTTGACAAGCCTCCATCAACCTGAAATAGATTGGGATTTTTTTCTCAGCACTATCCACAATAACATTTGCATACATACAACCTTTCAGAAAAAAAGCAATTTCTCTCTTCATAGGATTTCTTTACATGGATGATAGTCACAATCCAACAAAGGACGACTGAAGATTTCTTTATATGGCTCATAGTCACAATCCAACAAAGGACGACTGAAGATTTCATATATGGATGATAGTCACAATCCAACAAAGGACGACTGAAGATTTCTTTATATGGATAGGGTTATGTTGGTTTGATGTAATATTGTGAAGTTCGTTTAACAATTTGGGGACAAATTCTTTTTTCTCTCCATCACATACATTGACTTACTTTGATAAGCCTCAGCAAAACATCACTAAACACCAAGTTTCACTTGTCAGACCATATGACACCTGGGAACACATTTAGCCTGTAAACTACATTATTGGGTAGCTGAAGGGCTCTTTAGCAGAGTCAGTGATGGCCTCTAAAAAGACTCAATTTGTAAACTTCTATTGATAACATTAACATGCCATGTGTCTGATATAACACCACAGAAATCGCTAGCCTTAATCTGGTTTTACTACACTAGAAGATCTTTACTGATACAAAGTGTTCCAGCTCATAGCTTGGATAATAAATGAACTGCCAGCATCCATTCAGCAGGCAATTATTCTAAAACTGGTGTAAAATAAAAGCAACTGGAGGCATCAGATTGCTCACAACTCACATACACACAAAAATCACTTTAGGATCACTTCTCCAAAGCTTTCACAGTTCCTGTGAGTTAATCTATATATTAGCATCCCATCACAATACAAAGCATATGCTCAGGTTAACTTTGGACCATTAAAATGGTGAACAAAATACTCATTTTGTCTAAAAGATTAGGCTTCCTAAAAGTGGTTTGTTCACTCCTGTGTATCTGGGTCTCGTCTGGATCCAGTTTAATGACAAATGTACTGTCAAATCCTTTCACACAAAGTAGCATAAACAGTAAAGGTTATTCTCACCACACACAATCTCCATCAGTTTTGTTCAAACATGACAAACAAACTACACAATTGCCAGCTCTGTTTCACAACACATGTCCAAGACCTTCTGAATCAAAAACAGCAAGTCTGAGTGATGATTCTTTAACTTTAGTTTATTATTGTTATTATTATCATAAGTACATACATACATGTTTATTTACAAACATTTGGCAGTTTTAACTGCACAGCACTGTACAGACAAATAACCAAGACGACGAAATGAACATAGTATTTTGGCAGACACATGACTTGCATGTTACTAGCAGCATAAGAGGAATTTATATCGACTACATCACAGAGGTAATATACAGACTCGATCAATGAGTTTGAATGTCCACTTGAATAAATACATCCAGATGAGTATTAGCTAATCAATATGGATACAAGTAATTACAATGTTGCTGTTCATCCAGCAGCAATGATCATAGGCCCTGTCACCAACTGGCCCAGTTCTGTTCCATCTCATCATTATTCCCCTTTCTTATTGCTTCTGTAATGAGATAACCGACTGTGTATTGCATAAATTGGCTGTCATTATATTTTCACCCTCATTAATTGTGATTTGGTAACTGTGTTGTAGAAAGGTATGTTTATAAAGCAACATTTATCTCTCTTGAGCAATAATGAATAAACAAATGATTTATCTTCATTACATTGTCACACAAGAAGCACAGGGATGAAGGCTAAGAATTATTTGTGCTTGAAGTTATTCTTTTTGTGGAGCCTCAGATAATTAAATGTTTTTTACATGATAGAACAATCATAAAAGAAAATACAAACATAATGTTGAAAGAAATATTATCCTGAAAATAAAATGGATGCTATAAAAACTGTCCATACAAAATATCTTTTTAATTTAATGTTACTTTTGTGTTATGTTAACTGCAGGTCCAATTTGCAACATTTGAATACCTCAAGTAAAGGTGTTAAAATACATGAAAAAATCAACCATATTGTGAAAAAGCAAAATATACATTCATCTTATAAGCAAAAATGCATTGGAAAGAAATTGCTACAAAATATTGGTGTTGTTTCAGCAATGTAATCTCCACATAAAACTGTATGGAAATGTATATAATTACTGTGTTAGTCTTGTAGCATCAGGCCCATCTGCCCCTATCTGTCTTCTGAAAGGAAAATGAGTCAACAGATTTAAACAGGAAACTCCATAACTCATTTTACAAACTATACCCGTGAAACAATCAATCCTTGGAATTTTGAAAAACAATAAAATGTCCTATTACTTGCATATTTTAAAAATCAGGTATTGTTTTGTACTTGTTTCAGAAAATACCATAAAACTGACGCATCAATCACAAACTCAGATTATTTCAGCTGCTCACCACCGTCAATAATCTATATTTCTTCAAAGTTCCCAATCTCAAAAAACTAAAATTCAGTAAAGTAAAAGCAAAAAAAATTGAAACTGAAGTAAAAAGCTACCAAACTGTGACATATCTGATACACCAACACTGGTGTCACCAAAATGCCCTTGCATATTTGACACACTGCAGACACTAGACATATGGCAAACTGAATCAGATTTATCCGACTTAATAGCTGCACAATATCAATATTGCTTTTTGATACAAGATATTGACTAATATCAAGAAAAAACAGTGATTTCTGCATAAAGACAAAAATGTGACCATGGCACTACACTAACAAAAATAACATGACTTGATCATGAGCAATGTATAATATCAAATATATCAAAAAATACAGTAAGCAGTTATGATTTTCCTGGTTTAATTTGATCACAGGAGCTGTTTGATTCTTTACAGCATCCAGAGGAAACAGTCAGTTTTGAATATCGTCACAAAGAGAGGCCCTTCACACTATTGTAAACGTGTGGTAAAAACATGCATATAAAACAGACTGAGTAAAGCTGTGTGAACCTTTAAAACGTTTCATCTCATGACAACAGCGGTACACATAAAACCTGACTGTAGTCTGTTTTCCAATTCAGAATTCTTTGGTGCATATTGCTGTATACTTGAATAACAAGTATTGATGGGTATTCACGCAAGACCTAGGAGTCAAACTGACCCTGATGATTCCTCAATCAAAGATGGACTACCTATAGCTCTGTGATAAAAATGTACCTTAGAGACAAAGTAGAAAACTATTATTTCTAAAAAGTACACATTGACTTGTCAAGTGACAAAGGAACATTCCGTAAACTGCACTATAGAGAGGTAAGCTCTGCACTATAGAGAGGTAAGCTCAACAGAAGTGACATCATGAACGGCAAGAAATATGGACACAAAAATACTTCCTTGTTCCTCATCAGGGACACATCCTCAACATGTTTTGGATGTTTTGTACTCAATATAGAGCTGCTTTCTGCTATCTATGTTAATGTTTTGTACTCAATTGGCAAATGGAGCTGCTTTCTGACATCTATGTTAATGTTTTGTACTCAATATAGAGCTGCTTTCTGCTATCTATGTTAATGTTTTGTACTCAATATAGAGCTGCTTTCTGCTATCTATGTTAATGTTTTGTACTCAATTGGCAAATGGAGCTGCTTTCTGCTATCTATGTTAATGTTTTGTACTCAATTGGCAAATGGAGCTGCTTTCTGACATCTATGTTAATGTTTTGTACTCAATTGGCAAATGGAGCTGCTTTCTGCTACCTATGTTAATGTTTTGTACTCAATTGGCAAATGGAGCTGCTTTCTGCTATCTACTTTGCAAATCAGGAATGTTTACTGGGTTTTGAAGCACTGGTGTGGCATTTTGGTAGGAGTGGTTCAGAAATCAAAATATGACAAATTCATCCTTCTTACCCATTTTTTTCTAAAAACAGATGAGGATACAAGAATTCTTAACTATTACCTTAGATTGATTGTATACAAATAAAACCTGATATTTCATTTGTCTGAAGATTTCCTGCAAGCTGGACAAATTATGTTTAAGAAATGAAAGATAACATAAACATATTGATACCTGAAACAGATTGATAATGATAAAAAACGATAAAAACAATATAACCTTATAGATGATTTATGCAAAAAAACAAGCTAAGGTTATGACAGACCAGACTAGCATGATGCTATTTTAATGAGTATTAGGGGCACATAGGGTAACTTTCAAACTTCTTATCTTTAACCAAAAAACAGAGAATGAAAGCAACCTGACAATTCAATCTGCCCTTGGGACTACTGAAACCAGACACTTAATCTAAATATCTGAAATTTTTCAATCTATTTTTCAAGCTATTCAAGCACCAGTACAAGATATATTTTCAAACAAATGATAGTTTTGTCTTATTGATTCCAAGCCAATACAGCATGAGAGGATGACAAGTACTTTTATCCTTCAATAAATATCTATGCAGAACTCCCAACTGTTCTCGAACAACACACAGGGCTGTACCACTGAGACAGGGGATTGTGTTGAAGCAGAAGATAAACTTGCAGAATGTTTCCACCATCATCAACTAACCCAGATGATCCAACAACACAGCAATCTGCATACACTTGTGTGGACAGTACTGACGGGGAGTCTCACAAACAGGAATCAGTGCTGTATAATCATTATGGGAGGAATCCGTCGACAACCACAAGATGAACACAGCTCTATGGACGTAGTGGAACATGCATTCACGGACATAGCTTTGTCCACTAACAGGCCATGGTACAGATGGTTCTATTTACATATGTACATATACTGGCTCTTCCAACTGTTCATCAAGAGAGTTGGCAAGTTGCCTATGGAATTTCCCCAATTGTCTGATGAGTAGAAAGTGTTGCTGTCCTATAACAGCGAACACAAGTCCATACATCATGACCAAGACCAACTAAAACTCATGAAAAAGTTAAGCTGAGGATGTTAGATTCCCAATATTTTGGCACTGACTGGATCTTGCTTCCAGGATAATGATCCCATAAATGTTAAAAACATGATTTGATGAAAAGAAGGCATATTGTACCTGAAACAATTTTGATTTACAAATCATAATTATGGGATAGTTCCATCTATATCTGATATGTTTGCTTTTGATTCTTAGGAGTTCCCTGTATTCTAACCCTATAAAAAGTCTTTATTCCTGAGAATGAAAACATTATACACCTTGTCGTGCTGAGTTTACATCCTGACAATAGTGAAGAGCATTGGTACAATCCCTCAAGGTAGAATACATTACATGCTCACAACTTTGTTAACCCAAAACATATTCACACAAACATAGATACCTCTGTTGCCTGAAGATGGCTATCGCAGTTGTGGAGTTCCTGTGTTTTCCAGAGATTATCCGACCGCAACTGCTATAACACTCTTTGATATATACTAGGAATGTGGACATGAGCATAAACAAGAGTGATATTACACAGTAACAAGAAATCATCTGCATCTTACAGGCAGATCAAGATCTGGTTGTGTCACAGGAGAGTCAGTTCAACACAGGAATATAACCTACAACTTCCTTAGCCATCATGAAATCTTCCGTACACCTTTGGTTACTGCAAATCACTATATTATGGTATCATTTTGATATAAATGTGTTTTTTAAGTTACTTGGAATACTTGAGAATTACAACTGTAAGGTTGTATATGATGACGCATGACTGACATGGCAAGTACCCATATTTTAACTATAATTTAACCACATTTTAAAACAAAGAAAAAGATTAAATATAAAGAATAAAACCTCAGAACACTGAGCTAAATAGGCAAACTTTTGAGCTACTCTGCATAATATGCTTGGTCACCAACATAAACATGCATATGGGGTGGGGCAATGGAGAAAAGAAGAGGGGGGTCATATTCAAAATATCGTTGTATTTGACTGAAATCAGTTAAATTATGAAACTAAAGGAGCTTATGATGGAATGAAATGTTGAAAAACAGACATTATTCTTTGGAGGTAGTACTCAATACAAAATGTCATGGCATGAATAGTATATTTGAAAGCAACCTGATTCTCAAATGATGACATACATGAATGTACACAACGATGCTGATAAGCTGTACTTGTATGATTGGTGACCAAACATGAAGCTGAGCTTACCAACAACTTTAACACAACAAGAAACTTGTAACAAATACACTTAGAGCATGGACTAAAATTAAATCAACATCCACATCAAACTGACTTGTATTATATCTATGTTTGAGTTCCGGTCAGTGTGTAACAGTGGGTGAGATTGAAAAGCCTCTAAAAGACAGACCAACAAAGTTAACATGCTGTGCTGTATCACATAAGATTTAAAACTTGGCACATAACTGAGCAATTCTAGAGGAAAGCAAAAGTAGCAAAGAAATGTGTAACAACATATGAAAATGGCAACAAGAGATCCTCACAGCTGTACACTGTGCAGGAGCTGTAGGGAGTTTGTGTCAGCAATGATGGGCACTCCCAACAGGTTGTAAGAACATATTGCTCATATTGTGAAGTTCAAGTCCTATTTTTAAAATACTCCACATGATCTGTTTCACCCCATGTGACCGTATTTCACCAGGTGACAAACATGTTCTTGAGTGTACACACACACACACCCCACCCCCCAACCCCAATAATGTCATGTGGTTATGGCTATCTTCCTTGGCCACACCCTTAGCACCTTAGACACAAGGCATTCGTCGGTCAACACCCACTCCTCACTCTCAACATGTAGCATGGATCCATATTATGTCCAAAGAAAAACACACGCTTCACCCTCCGATATTCCCAGGTCTGGAGATACAGAAACCCACCATACAGAGTTCCAGAGACTAACACAGTTCTAACAAATGCAAGGTTTTCACTCTGTAGACAAACACTTCTCCTGTTCATCAGATACAAATCATTGTCCATAGGCAGTACATCCCTATATCAGACATCCCACAAGTTCTCACTAATCATACACACATTCATGATTTTCCATTTGAAATCTCAGTTTTGAGCTCAAAGGCCTACAGTGTATATAAATATGTGTGTGGATTATGTTTCAACAAGATGTATAAATAACATGAGTTGTGTCAAGATGTGCAGCCTAGGATGAACATATGAACTTGGAAGTACTTCAGTCTACCATGTCACACAGTTCACACGAAGTCCCATTGACTTCTGCTAAACACGTTCGTCTTTCAATCACAGACTTTGAATCTCATGGGGGAAGTTTTGTCTCCATCTCAACGGAATCCAACATTGTCTTCTTAACACAGTCATTGACTATCAAAGGGATGTAATCCTCCTTTCGCACACGTTCATAGCAGAGACATGAGCAAAACAACTGATGAGTAAAAGCCTTTGGGAAATAAATCATCTATGAACTTCCTCCTAATGTTTTCAGCCTCTTTGGCCAATCCAAACATGAAAGACTTGTTTTGCCTACTGGCACAATTGAACCAATCACAGTTCGGCTTTGACGCCACATCACACCATGATTTCATCTTCCTCGGCTAGGGTCTTAAAGTCTGGTATTGATACGAAGCTGGACTCGATGACCATGTGGTCCACAAACGATCCTGACCCACCGGTCCTCTGTACAGTGATTGTTGGCACAGGCACATCATCAAGTTCATCTTCCAGAAGGCTCCCACACGACTCATACTGTAACTGGGCCTTCTTGATAGCAACAGAGTACCGAGATGGTGGCTTCTTACACGGTTGAATCGTTCTTCTCTTTGTCAGATGTAATAGAGACGGGGGACTGACTGCAACAGACAACATAAAATAAATAAATCATCCAAATTAGTGATTTACATTTTGGAAAAACTTCTGGATCAATGAGATGCAAATTTCTAACAGTTCATAATACATATCTGCTGTCATATTTTAAAAAAACGTACTTTTGCATGACTAAATGAATTCAACATTTGTAAACATGAATGAGTGATATGATGTGGTTGAGTGCAACTGGAATTTATGTGATACTTAAGTATATATAAGTAGTTGTAGTGGTAATAGTATTGACAGGTTACTTGAACCTTCATTTAGAGTGAGTTTAGTTTTAAACCGCACTCAGCTATATTCCAGCTATATGGCGGTTGTCTGTAAATACTCGCATCTGGACCAGACAATCCAGTGATCAACAGCATGAGCATCGATCTACGCAACTGGGATAGGATGACATGTGTCAACCAAGTCAGCAAGCGTGACCACCCGATCCCGTTAGTCGTCTCTTACGACAAGCACGGGTTATGAAAGATCAATTCTAACCTGGATCTTCACAGGTTTCCTTCATTTAGAAACATATGTGACATTACATGCAGTCTGAAATGAAAACCCTGCCCTTCAATGTCAACTATGTTTTAGCATTATACAAATTCTCGTCCTCTCCCAGTATGCCAAAGAATTGCAACAATGTTAATTTGAAAAAGCTGCAAAAGACTTATCATGCCTTTGAACAGTTCAGTACAAGTAGCATCAGTTCAATACTAATTATGTTAATAACCAGTCATATGCGTCTAACTAATACAGACTATAGGATGACATTATATCTTCAACATAGATAAGTTTTTGTAAGTTCAAGAATTGGAAAAGAGGCAATGTCTGGAAGTGGGGGAATCAGAAAAAAACAACTTGCTTCAGCTGAGCAGCTAGTGCATAATAACCAGTGCTGTTATTCTACATTGTTCAACAATTAGCCTTTGAAATAAAAAGTATTACCTATTAAAGCATGTTTCCATATCATATATTTCAAAGACATTGTATTATGCAAGCATTTGGATAACATAATACATAGTTTTTAATTGTAATATTTGCTAATTATTATATGGAAATACACAAGGGTAATAATCTCTTTATCATATCTTGCATCAATGTTTAAGTTGAAATTTCGCTCAATGACGTAACTTTAGATTGCTTAAAAGAACAATGTTTGAGTAAATTGCCCTCTCTTTCAATGAGAGCTGAATGATTTGCAGCCATATTTGTTTATTAGTTTATAATGCAATGTTTATTACCACAATAACACTATTCACTATGTAATAAATGGTTGAAATTGAGTTTTATGGCTTTGCTAAATTTAACAAGGTAAGGCTAATAAACCAAATATCCATTAATTTTGGTTTTCAATACACAGGTCCGGGGCCCTTATTCTCGAAACGTTCGTAACCCTAAGAATTCTTAACTTTGACCGTAGCCAATGTATTAAGAATGGGCTCAAGAAGTTTGTAGGGCTACGAATGTTTCAAGAATAGCTAGCCAGGTCATTGTATTACAGGTCACTGTATTCCTCAAAACAAAGGAGAGGTCATGATAGGTCCAGATTCACAACATAGAGGTCAAAATATGTCTAATTACACAACATACAGGTTAAATATACACTGGACCAATCTGCTTCTATCTTGGATGACAGGGATTTACATTATGGAAAATACGAAATACAATCAAGCATACTTATATAAAGTATGTTGACAGGGAAGATGTTTCTTCATTGCACCCCTTACCATTAGCACGATACCATGCCGAGGTGAAGGTTCCTGTACCTACCCACTAGTGTCCCCACCCACGATACCATGCCGAGGTGAAGGTTCCTGTACCTACCCACTAGTGTCCCCACCCATGATACCATGCCGAGGTGAAGGTTCCTGTACCTACCCACAAGTGTCCCCACCCAAGATACCGTGCCGAGGTGAAGGTTCCTGTACCTACCCACTAGTGTCCCCACCCATGATACCATGCCGAGGTGAAGGTTCCTGTACCTACCCACTAGTGTCCCCACCCAAGATACCATGCCGAGGTGAAGGTTCCTGTACCTACCCACTAGTGTCCCCACCCATGATACCATGCCGAGGTGAAGGTTCCTGTACCTACCCACTAGTGTCCCCACCCAAGATACCATGCGAGGTGAAGGTTCCTGTACCTACCCACTAGTGTCCCCACCCAAGATACCATGCCGAGGTGAAGGTTCCTGTACCTACCCACTAGTGTCCCCACCCAAGATACCATGCCGAGGTGAAGGTTCCTGTACCTACCCACTAGTGTCCCCACCCATGATACCATGCCGAGGTGAAGGTTCCTGTACCTACCCACTAGTGTCCCCACCCATGATACCATGCCAAGGTGAAGGTTCCTGTACCTACCCACTAGTGTCCCCACCCAAGATACCATGCCGAGGTGAAGGTTCCTGTACCTACCCACTAGTGTCCCCACCCATGATACCATGCCGAGGTGAAGGTTCCTGTACCTACCCACTAGTGTCCCCACCCATGATACCATGCCGAGGTGAAGGTTCCTGTACCTACCCAGTAGTGTCCCCACTAGTGTCCCCACCCATGATACCGTGCCGAGGTGAAGGTTCCTGTACCTACCCACTAGTGTCCCCACCCATGATACCATGCCGAGGTGAAGGTTCCTGTACCTACCCACTAGTGTCCCCACCCATGATACCATGCCGAGGTGAAGGTTCCTGAACCTACCACTAGTGTCCCCACCCATGATACCATGCCGAGGTGAAGGTTCCTGTACCTACCCACTAGTGTCCCCACCCATGATACCATGCCGAGGTGAAGGTTCCTGTACCTACCCACTAGTGTCCCCACCCATGATACCATGCCGAGGTGAAGGTTCCTGTACCTACCCACTAGTGTCCCCACCCATGATACCATGCCGAGGTGAAGGTTCCTGTACCTACCCACTAGTGTCCCCACCCATGATACCATGCCGAGGTGAAGGTTCCTGTACCTACCCACTAGTGTCCCCACCCATGATACCATGCCAAGGTGAAGGTTCCTGTACCTACCCACTAGTGTCCCCACCCATGATACCATGCGAGGTGAAGGTTCCTGTACCTACCCACTAGTGTCCCCACCCATGATACCATGCCGAGGTGAAGGTTCCTGTACCTACCCACTAGTGTCCCCACCCATGATACCATGCCAGTGTCCCCACCCACGATACCATGCCGAGGTGAAGGTTCCTGTACCTACCCACTAGTGTCCCCACCCATGATACCATGCCGAGGTGAAGGTTCCTGTACCTACCCACTAGTGTCCCCACCCATGATACCATGCCGAGGTGAAGGTTCCTGTACCTACCCACTAGTGTCCCCACCCATGATACCATGCCGCAGGTGAAGGTTCCTGTACCTACCCACTAGTGTCCCCACCCATGATACCATGCCGAGGTGAAGGTTCCTGTACCTACCCACTAGTGTCCCCACCCATGATACCATGCCGAGGTGAAGGTTCCTGTACCTACCCACTAGTGTCCCCACCCATGATACCATGCCAAGGTGAAGGTTCCTGTACCTACCCACTAGTGTCCCCACCCATGATACCATGCCGAGGTGAAGGTTCCTGTACCTACCCACTAGTGTCCCCACCCATGATACCATGCCGAGGTGAAGGTTCCTGTACCTACCCACTAGTGTCCCCACCCTAACCTTCTGTAATAATAATATGTAATAATAATAATATTAATATACATAAATGAAAATCTTTTTCCACAATCAATCATAAAAGCTTACAATCGATCACAGCATCAGTAGACAGTAACTGAAGAATCATTTATTACACCTACAAGAATGCATCAGCGAGGAAGACCCCTACAAGACTATCACAGCAAACATGTCAGTCACAGAAAGTAGGATGAAGATAGGTATCTACAATAAATCTTTATTCTCATTCACTACAAACTACAAGAAGAAATGGCATTTGCTCTATCTGGCTGCATCTGAATTAGAGAAATCTACTCATGGGAAATTTCCTATTTGGATCTCAATAAAGCACCATACTTCCTATGAAAAGCACTTGGCTTTAGTCCACATGCAGTAAAGACACCAGTCTTAGCTTCAGCCCTCATAATGTGTCATATACCAATGCTATTCAGGAAACATTATTCTCTTCCAGTGAAGCGTGTGCTATAAGGGAGAGACTAAGTCTGGTTTAAATCACTCTGGACAGTTCAGTTTCATCAGTGCTAGCTACATTGGAAGGAAGCACTGAGAAATGCAGATCTTGCAGCTGGTTTTCCCAGAAAACTAACTCCAGCACATCGGATTTCACTCCAACAATAACAGGTGCCTGACATGCCTAAGGGGTGCAACTCTGTACAACAACTTAAATCACTCTAGAAAACGTGGTCAACCTATGGGAAAGAAGATTCAATACTACTTCACAGGCATTTCTTTATTAAAAGAACAAATGTTTGCTCTCTCATGAATATTGAATACAAAGAAATAGCATGACTGTTAGATAATACTGGGTACTTGAAGAAGTCAAATACATAAAACCAATAAAAAGGGCCTGCTTATTCTCGTCACATACCATTTTGGGCATAGTTTTTTGGACAGCATAATCTGCCAACTTTTGTAAATTACACTGGTAAGAGAGTTTGGGGTCTGTGTACAAATGAAAGTATGATGAAGAAATGATGTTGATTAAATATATGAATCTCCCTCCCTTAATTGATAAACATGTTTCCACCATTAGATTAGTACTGTGCAAGCGTGTGTAGGGGTGGGGAGTGGGGGGTGTTTGAAATATATATATCTATATATATATGCAACATTAGATTAGGACTGTGCAAGTGATATAATTATATGTACTTATATCCACAGAAAGATCTACTTATGGACATATTTCCTATGTAACACACACCACTGTTTACACAGTTTAGGTGACTAGGTTTGAGTACCTTCAACAAACACAATTTGTAAAGAACAGTCATGTTCATCAGACCAGCCAAGGCCTTCAGACCAGCCAAGGCCATAAGACCATTCAGGGACATCAGACCAGCCAAGACCATAAAACCATTCAGGGCCATTAGACCAGCCAAGTCCTTAAAGAGCAGCCAATGCATCAGACCACTCAAGGCCTTGAGATCAGTCAAGTCCAACCAAGTCCAACAAATCCATCAGACCAGCCAAGCCCATCAGAACAGCCAAAGCCAAACATCCAGCCAAGGCCATCAGACCAGGCAAGGCCATCTGACCAGCCCTGACCATCAGACCAGCCAAGGCCATTAGACCAGCCCTGACCATCAGACCAGCCAAGGCCATTAGACAAGCCCTGGCCATCACATCTCTCAGTATCACAGGTCCAGCAATCTGACCTGCCAAGGCCATTAGACCAGCCAAGGCCATTAGACAAGCCCTGGCCATCACATCTCTCAGCATCACAGGTCCAGCAATCTGACCTGCCAAGGCCATTAGACCAGCCAAGGCCATTAGACAAGCCCTGGCCATCACATCTCTCAGTATCACAGGTCCAGCAATCTGACCTGCCAAGGCCATTAGACCAGCCAAGGCCATTAGACAAGCCCTGGCCATCACATCTCTCAGCATCACAGGTCCAGCAATCTGACCTGCCAAGGCCATTAGACCAGCCAAGGCCATTAGACAAGCCCTGGCCATCACATCTCTCAGTATCACAGGTCCAGCAATCTGACCTGCCAAGGCCATTAGACCAGCCAAGGCCATTAGACAAGCCCTGGCCATCACATCTCTCAGCATCACAGGTCCAGCAATCTGACCTGCCAAGGCCATTAGACCAGCCAAGGCCATTAGACAAGCCCTGGCCATCACATCTCTCAGTATCACAGGTCCAGCAATCTGACCTGCCAAGGCCATTAGACCAGCCAAGGCCATTAGACAAGCCCTGGCCATCACATCTCTCAGCATCACAGGTCCAGCAATCTGACCTGCCAAGGCCATCAGACCAGCCAAGGCCATTAGACAAGCCCTGACCATCACATCTCTCAGTATCACAGGTCCAGCAATCTGACCTGCCAAGTCTGTGAGGCCTACCAGCCATTTCTGTCAGATCTACCTGGAGTTAGAGATGAACTATTCCAAGAAGCAAGAACCATCTTACGTAATTACTAGGGGTGACTATTGAGGGGGAAACAACTATTACGACGAGAGTCTGTTGTAGCATACTATTGCGATAGCGATAGTCTATTGCAATAGTGCTTTTTCTCCTTGAATTGTCTCATTTGAAGTCATTTCCCAAATGAATGTATAGTTTATGTGAAATAAATACAAGCTGAAGTAGTTTCAGTCTCGTTTAATAACTGACAAGTTAGATCAAGATCAAGATTGTTTAAGAGGTAACGGGGCTGATAACTCTAAACCAAAGGGAACAAATCTGGTACTTCCAGTATTTTGCGCTGCTCTTTTATCAACGGAGGTCAATTACTAAACTATCGATAGTCACACATACTATCGATGCATCGATAGTTTTTCGTTTATACCATCGATTAATTGCTATCAGAAACTCAACAAAAGCAATCCATGGATAGTTCCATGCATCGTTACAGCCCTAATAATTACACAATGCGGGCTGAAGTTAACACTAGCCACCAGCATCCAAGTTTCTCTTGCTACAGGTTAGTGATCCCATTCCATGTAAGCTTGTACACAAGGACAGGCAGGGGGTGTCTATATAGTTCATTCCAATATATACGAAGCTCATAAACTGAAGACTTTTTACCTGTCACCATTTGTTTTAGCTAAAACAAAACAAAGGAGTGGCAAATGATATTTGCATGCAGAAGGAAGGAGGAAGCACAGCCACAGTAAGCACACAACATTTCCCCATGTGCCATCAGCTACAAGTACTCATGTCCCAAACATCTATTCCTGTCAGTAGCTTCACGGATACTTTTTTTAAATGAATTCAAAACATAAATACCATTTGATCATTTTAATTTCAGATTGATATGTACTACTCAAAAGAAGATAAGGATACCCGATTCCTTCATACATTACAATGGCATGGCAGATTAAGTAAAGGATTACAAAAGAACCTGGAGATCATTAAGAGTTTTTGAGTGGTGAATGTTGTAAAACACGGAAACAAATATAAATATTTTCCTGTTATAAAATTCTGAAATGCCTGAACAGTTGATTTATACTACAAAATAGATAGTCTGGAGGCATATACAAACATACAGGCACATGGAGAAAACAACAGAGTGGATGAACAAGACAGAGACAAATAGTTACACACATGAAGAATATCTTTGTCTAACCACACACTCATTTTATAAGTGTACACTCTAATAAGTCTTTGTCATACATTGTAATGATTCAGTTATCATACAGAGCAGGCTTTCTGTATTTATACTGTAGTAGTATAGTTAGTTAAGTGTATACTTTAATACAAAAGAACGTTAATTATTTCATCATTATTACAAACATTTCATGCATTCAATATAATCTGGGCTATAACACACACTTGAACAGGGTTCATACACAATTAAAAATCTGAAAATGTAAGACCTTTTAACAGCAACCTCCTTAGGTTTATTGAAACATAACATTTAAACACAGATATTTATGCTATTCAAGACTATTGTGATATTTCTTCACTATCAACACAGCACTCTTATCCAGGCTGGAATCTGTTTATAATGAGAAAAGTGCTCTATGGTTAGGGACAATGAACAGTTTCTTCTTAAATGTTGTAAACATATTCCAAAAGTTTGGGTTTTTTAAATGAAAATTTATCATCTTGAGATTACCAATTTCAAGGCCTCTTTAAGACAGAATTAAGTCTGCAGGCAATACTACTATCTACTGTGCGAACCCTGTTCTTCATGAGGATAAGGAGCATGATACGCATGTCGCCAAGCCATATAACGTGGCATCTATGGACATATACTGCTTTACATCTTCAGATGATGGCGTTCACGACCTACCTGGCAGATCAAACGTTGAAGCATACTCTTCATTATCCTCCAAGTCATCCATGGGGTCGAAGGAGCTCTCAAACTCATCGCCTGTGAGCATGTCCTCATCAGAGCTTGCCTGTCGAGGCTCCAGCACTGGCAGTCGGGTGGTCAGGTTATCCCTGAAGCAGGAGAGAGTGAGGAAGTGAGTATAGTTTTACTCGCTTTAAGCAATATTCCAGCAATATCATGGAGGGGGACACCAGAAATGGGCTTCACACATTGTACACATGTGGGGAATTGAACCGTGGTCTTCAGCGTGACGTGCAAATGCTTTAGCCACTTAGCTACCCCACCGCCCGGAGGAAAGTGTTGTACCTCTTTACAGTGTGTCAAAAACATATCTTAGTCCCATCTTAACCTTCCTCATTTAAAATGAGGACTAGTTGATAGGATTTTTTTACACAGTTATCCCTTTAATTCAAAACCTGAAGCATGTACTTTTATACTGGTTTCATGTGTTTGCTTGAGTGATCACTGACATACTTTTCTTTGTGTATGGAGGCTATATGAGCAGAGAGAACCCGTGCTTCCTCTATCAGCAGAGTCTCTTCCTCCTCTTCCTCTTCTTTGACCGGTATGGGAGATATCGGCTTGTGCATCGACACAGGCCTTGACTGGAGACACAAAACATAACATGAATGCAAGGTTATAAATGTCTACAAAAAAGACCCTGCAAAATAGATTGTTTGACAAAGCCCACTGGACTACGTTATGATGGCAGGCTAGGAATAGTGCAAGACATCCTGTGAATTGATATAAAGAGCAAAATTAGCAAAATCTCACCTTGGGGGTTCTGATACTGGCTCGGACAAAGGACAATCGGTCGGCAGCAGATTTTTCTGCTGATTCCAATGTGTGAATGTCCTCTAGAGTGGCATTCACCTTCATCAGTTGCTCTCCCAAAATAAATTCTATACACCTGCAAAACAAAATATCACGGGCAAGTGAGGTGAGTTTTAAGTCACTTTCATCTTTACTCCATCACATTATGGCAGAGGCCTTCACACAGTCCTCATGCAAGGAATGGAATCCAGGAGGAAGGCGTGGTGAATAAACATCTCAGGATGACTCCCTACCTTTTCATGTATGAGAGTGAGTGTCTGGGTTACTGAATACCCTCTCATGTATGAGAGTGAGTGTCTGGGTTATTGAATACCCAATCATGTATGAGAGTGAGTGTCTGAGTTACTGAATACCCTATCACGTATGGGAGTGAGTGTCTGGGTTACTGAATACCCTCTCATGTATGAGAGTGAGCGTCTGGGTTACTGAATACCCTATCATGTATGAGAGTGAGTGTCTGGGTTATTGAATACCCTATCATGCATGAGAGTGAGTGTCTGGGAAACTGAATACCCTATGATGTATGAGAGTGAGTGTCTGGGAAACTGAATACCCTATGATATATGACAGTGAGTGTCTGGGTTACTGAATACCCTATCATGTACGAGAGTGAGTGTCTTGGTTATTGAATACCCTATGATATATGAGAGTGAGTGTCTGGGTTACTGAATACCCTATCATGTATGACAGTGAGTGTCTGGGTTACTGAATACCCTATCATGTATGAGAGTGAGTGTCTGGGTTATTGAATACCCTATGATGTATGACAGTGAGTGTCTGGGTTACTGAATACCCTATGATGTATGAGAGTGAGAGTCTGGGTTACTGAATACCCTACCATGTATGAGAGTGAGTGGCTGGGTTACTGAATACCCTACCATGTATGAGAGTGAGTGGCTGGGTTACTGAATACCCTATCATGTATGAGAGTGAGTGTCTGGGTTATTGAATACCATATGATATATGAGAGTGAGTGTCTGTGTTACTGAATACCCTATCATGTATGAGAGTGAGTGTCTGGGTTACTGAATACCCTATCATGTATGAGAGTGAGTGGCTGGGTTACTGAATACCCTATGATGTATGAGAGTGAGTGGCTGGGTTACTGAATACCCTATCATGTATGAGAGTGAGTGGCTGGGTTACTGAATACCCTATGATGTATGAGAGTGAGTGTCCGGGTTACTGAATACCCTATCATGTATGAGAGTGAGTGTCTGTGTTACAGAATACCCTATCATGTATGAGAGTGAGCTGCTGGATTACTGAATACCCTATCATGTATGACAGTGAGTGTCCGGGTTACTGAATACCCTATCATGTATGAGAGTGAGTGTCTGGGTTACTGAATACCCTATCATGTATGAGAGTGAGCGGCTGGATTACTGAATACCCTATCATGTATGAGAGTGAGTGTCTGTGTTACTGAATACCCTATCATGTATGAGAGTGAGTGTCTGTGTTACTGAATACCCTATCATGTATGAGAGTGAGTGTCTGGGTTACTGAATACCCTATCATGTATGAGAGTGAGTGTCTGGGTTACTGAATACCCTATGATGTATGAGAGTGAGTGTCTGGGTTACTGAATACCCTATGATGTATGAGAGTGAGTGTCTGGGTTACTGAATACCCTATGATGTATGAGAGTGAGCGGCTGGATTACTGAATACCCTATCATGTATGAGAGTGAGTGTCTGGGTTACTGAATACCCTATGATGTATGAGAGTGAGTGTCTGTGTTACTGAATACCCTATCATGTATGAGAGTGAGTGTCTGGGTTATTGAATACCCTATCATGTATGACAGTGAGTGTCTGGGTTACTGAATACCCTATCATGTATGAGAGTGAGAGTCTGGGTTACTGAATACCCTATCATGTATGAGAGTGAGTGGCTGGGTTACTGAATACCCTACCATGTATGAGAGTGAGTGGCTGGGTTACTGAATACCCTATCATGTATGAGAGTGAGTGTCTGGGTTATTGAATACCATATGATATATGAGAGTGAGTGTCTGTGTTACTGAATACCCTATCATGTATGAGAGTGAGTGTCTGGGTTACTGAATACCCTATCATGTATGAGAGTGAGTGTCTGTGTTACTGAATACCCTATCATGTATGAGAGTGAGCGGCTGGATTACTGAATACCCTATCATGTATGACAGTGAGTGTCCGGGTTACTGAATACCCTATCATGTATGAGAGTGAGTGTCTGGGTTACTGAATACCCTATCATGTATGAGAGTGAGTGTCTGGGTTACTGAATACCCTATCATGTATGAGAGTGAGTGTCTGTGTTACTGAATACCCTATCATGTATGAGAGTGAGCGGCTGGATTACTGAATACCCTATCATGTATGAGAGTGAGTGTCTGGGTTATTGAATACCCTATGATGTATGAGAGTGAGTGTCTGGGTTACTGAATACCCTATGATGTATGAGAGTGAGTGTCTGGGTTACTGAATACCCTATGATGTATGAGAGTGAGTGTCTGGGTTACTGAATACCCTATGATGTATGAGAGTGAGCGGCTGGATTACTGAATACCCTATCATGTATGAGAGTGAGTGTCTGGGTTACTGAATACCCTATGATGTATGAGAGTGAGTGTCTGTGTTACTGAATACCCTATCATGTATGAGAGTGAGTGTCTGGGTTATTGAATACCCTATCATGTATGACAGTGAGTGTCTGGGTTACTGAATACCCTATGATGTATGAGAGTGAGAGTCTGGGTTACTGAATACCCTATCATGTATGAGAGTGAGTGTCTGGGTTACTGAAAACCCTACCATGTATGAGAGTGAGTGGCTGGGTTACTGAATACCCTATCATGTATGAGAGTGAGTGTCTGGGTTATTGAATACCCTATCATGTACATGAGTGAGTGTCTGTGTTACTGAATACCCTATCATGTATGAGAGTGAGTGTCTGGGTTACTGAATACCCTATGATGTATGAGAGTGAGTGTCTGGGTTACTGAATACCCTATCATGTATGAGAGTGAGTGTCTGGGTTACTGAATACCCTATGATGTATGAGAGTGAGTGTCTGGGTTACTGAATACCCTATCATGTATGAGAGTGAGTGTCTGGGTTACTGAATACCCTATCATGTATGAGAGTGAGTGTCTGGGTTACTGAATACCCTATGATCATGTATGCTACTGAATACCCTATCATGTATGAGAGTGAGTGTCTCTGGGTTACTGAATACCCTATCATGTATGAGAGTGAGTGTCCTGGGTTACTGAATACCCTATCATGTATGAGAGTGAGTGTCTGGGTTACTGAATACCCTATCATGTATGAGAGTGAGCGGCTGGATTACTGAATACCCTATCATGTATGACAGTGAGTGTCTGGGTTACTGAATACCCTATCATGTATGAGAGTGAGTGTCTGGGTTACTGAATACTATCATGTATGAGAGTGAGTGTGCTGGGATTACTGAATACCCTATCATGTATGAGAGTGAGTGTCTGGGTTACTGAATACCCTATCATGTATGAGAGTGAGTGTCTGGGTTACTGAATACCCTATCATGTATGAGAGTGAGTGTCTGGGTTATTGAATACCCTATGATGTATGAGAGTGAGTGTCTGGGTTACTGAATACCCTATGATGTATGAGAGTGAGTGTCTGGGTTACTGAATACCCTATCATGTATGAGAGTGAGTGTCTGGGTTACTGAATACCCTATGATGTATGAGAGTGAGTGTCTGGATTACTGAATACCCTATCATGTATGAGAGTGAGTGTCTGGGTTACTGAATACCCTATCATGTATGAGAGTGAGTGTCTGTGTTACTGAATACCCTATCATGTATGAGAGTGAGTGTCTGGGTTACTGAATACCCTATCATGTATGAGAGTGAGTGTCTGGGTTACTGAATACCCTATCATGTATGAGAGTGAGTGTCTGGGTTACTGAATACCCTATGATGTATGAGAGTGAGTGTCTGGGTTACTGAATACCCTATCATGTATGAGAGTGAGTGTCTGGGTTACTGAATACCCTATCATGTATGAGAGTGAGCGGCTGGATTACTGAATACCATATCATGTATGACAGTGAGTGTCTGGGTTACTGAATACCCTATCATGTATGAGAGTGAGCGTCTGGGTTACTGAATACCCTATCATGTATGAGAGTGAGCGGCTGGATTACTGAATACCCTATCATGTATGAGAGTGAGTGTCTGGGTTACTGAATACCCTATCATGTATGAGAGTGAGTGTCTGGGTTACTGAATACCTTATCATGTATGAGAGTGAGTGTCTGGGATTACTGAATACCCTATCATGTATGAGAGTGAGTGTCTGGGTTACTGAATACCCTATCATGTATGAGAGTGAGTGTCTGGGTTACTGAATACCCTATCATGTATGAGAGTGAGTGTCTGGGTTACTGAATACCCTATGATGTATGAGAGTGAGTGTCTGGGTTACTGAATACCCTATCATGTATGAGAGTGAGCGGCTGGATTACTGAATACCCTATCATGTATGAGAGTGAGTGTCTGGGTTACTGAATACCCTATGATGTATGAGAGTGAGTGTCTGGTTTACTGAATACCCAATCATGTATGAGAGTGAGCGGCTGGATTACTGAATACCCTATCATGTATGAGAGTGAGTGTCTGGGTTACTGAATACCCACTCATGTATGAGAGTGAGTGTCTGGGTTATTGAATACCCTATCATGTATGAGAGTGAGTGTCTGTGTTACTGAATACCCTATCATGTATGAGAGTGAGTGTCTGGGTTACTGAATACCCTATCATGTATGAGAGTGAGTGTCTGGGTTACTGAATACCCTATCATGTATGAGAGTGAGTGTCTGGGTTACTGAATACCCTATCATGTATGAGAGTGAGTGTCTGGGTTACTGAATACCCTATCATGTATGAGAGTGAGTGTCTGGGTTACTGAATACCCTATCTTGTATGAGAGAGAGTGTCTGGGTTACTGAATACCCTATCATGTGTGAGAGTGAGTGGCTGGGTTACTGAATACCCTATCATATATGGGAGTGAGTGGTCTGGGTTACTGAATACCCTATCATGTATGAGAGTGAGTGTCTGGGTTACTGAATACCCTATCATGTATGAGAGTGAGTGTCTGGGTTACTGAATACCCTATCATATATGAGAGTGAGTGTCTGGGTTACTGAATACCCTATCATGTATGAGAGTGAGTGGCTGGGTTACTGAATACCCTATCATGTATGAGAGTGAGTGTCTGGGTTACTGAATACCCTATCATGTGTGAGAGTGAGTGGATGGGTTACTGAATACCCTATCATGTATGAGAGTGAGTGTCTGGGTTACTGAATACCTTATCATGTATGAGAGTGAGCGGCTGGATTACTGAATACCCTATCATATATGAGAGTGAGTGTCTGGGTTACTGAATACCCTCTCATGTATGAGAGTGAGTGTCTGGGTTACTGAATACCCTATCATGTATGAGAGTGAGTGTCTGAGTTACCGAATACCCTATCATGTATGAGAGTGAGTGTTTGTGTTACTGAATACCCTATCATGTGTGAGAGTGAGTGGCAGGGTTACTGAATTAAGCTTCATTTGAGTTACTGTATCCCAGCAAATCAGGAAGGAGGAAAACTTTCTGTGACTTGGGCTTGGATATCTACTACTTTGGTGAAACCACAAGCAATGACTCTTGAAATATGGAACATTCTGTCATCAATTAAACTCATCAATTAACAAACTAAGATGCCAGCTGATGTTGTGTAAACTGAAGCATGCCAGTACTCACAGTGTCTGTCGGGGCACCTGGTTGAGGCTCTCCTGAGCCTGCATCACCTTATTGCTTCGTAACAGACAGGGGGCAAATATGATGGCCAAGCCGTTGGACGACATCTTGTTGCTGCCTTCATGCATTGCAACTCTGCAACAGAGGAAACACTTCAGATGTTTCAAATGGACATATTTACAACTTTATTTGTGATTTTGGCTGATACATATTCTTTACAGGATTAATACGTATACAAAACACAGAGAGACCTGGCTCTGTTCATAAGCAGCAGGGTTTCCTGGACTACACTTCTGCGCAGTCCAGTAAAACCTCTTACAATCTTCGGTAAATTCAACCTGAAATATCTCATGTTGTTTCAAGTTGAAAACAACACAAGACAACAGTCCTGATACAGATTCTGTTGTGACCAAAAAGTCATTTTAACATGTATTTTACACGAGGCAAAAATGTTTTAACTAACAATGATTAACTCGAACTGAACAACAATAAGCATAAGAAAGTCAGATACTTTACATCAGGGGAAAACTATTCACTCATATGTCAAAAAAATATAATAAACAATCATAAACAAAATGTTCCAAAACTGATTTAAGGAGATTTTCTAATGGTGTTTACCTGGCTAGATGGAACATAAGCCTCTCACAGAGGTCATAGTTGGCCTTGGGGAGTCTTTCTATCACAGTAAATAATGATTGGATTCTTTCTTTCTCATCTTTGATCTCTGGAGTAAAGAAAACGTCAGATCAGATTATTTATTAAGCTATGTAACAGATGCTATGTATATACATATAACACCTAAAAACATATGATCTATTTAATCATCATCAGCAAAATAGAATTCTATAAATTCGTTCATAAATTAATCATTACTATGATAAATACTCATTTTTTACTCAATATATATATAGAAAGGGTGAGTTTAGTTTTATGCCACACCCAGCAATATTCCAGCTATATGGCAGTGGTCTGAAAATAATCGAGTCTGGACCAGACAATCCAGTGATCAATAGCATGTGCATCGATCTACACAATTGGGATGACATGTGTCAACCAAGTCGGCGAGCCCGACCACCCGATCCAATTAGTCGCCTCTTACGACAAGTATAAAAGAAAAGAACTTGTATTTCACACCAAAACATTGGCAGGCCTCTTGGAACAAGCACCAACAGAAAGGAAGCATGACACAGGCTGTAAATAATCTTGACCAGACAATTCAGAGATTGACATCATGAGCACAGATCTGTCAGTGCATGATGATATGTTGCCATTTAAACCAACCAGACCGCCCAGTACATAAAGTCACCTCTTACAAGCAACACATTCTAACTTCACTTGTTTCACTTGTTTGTGATATAATATCACAATCAGCAATATTCCAGCTAGTCAAGAGTCAGGAGCAGACAATCCAGTGATTGACATTATGAGCATCGAGTTTTCCAACAGGATTTCTAGCACCACTCTATTCTAACCCAGAATCGAAATGACACAAGTACTGTATTTTTCCTGAGATGCTGCTAATATTATTAACCATACCATTAGATAAGCCCAGATGTACATACCTGCCGCTCTGAGGAAGTCGTCATAGAGGTCAAAGGTGAGGAGAGGTTCCGGCAGCTCTCGGAAAAAGCACTTGAGTGTGGAGGTGAGGACATGGACAGGATACTCCTCAAAGTCCACAGCATCAATATCTGGGGAACATCAAGATCATAGTCAGTGAGTGAGTGAGTGGATATGGTTTTATGCCGTTTTTAGCAATATTCAAGCAATATCACGGCAGGGACAAAAGAAATGGGCATCACACATTGTACCCATGTAGGGAATCGAACCCGGGTATTCGGCGTGACAAGCGAACGCTTTAACCACAAGGCTACCCCACCACCACTTCAACATAGAGAAATGTATCAGCTGGTGTTGATCTTCCAATCAGGTCACCACTTCAGATACTACTGTTTTGGCTACCCACTACAGATTGCAGAAGCCCAGATAAGCTGCATATCCGGGTAAAATACGCATAGAAAATTTCCAATTACGCATTGAAAAAATAATTGTTGCGTACCAATTATGCATTTAAAATGTTAGATACGCAAAAAGTTTAAAACAAATGCGTACAGAATATATTTATAAAAATCGCTTGCGTGATGAAAAAGACATCGATTGCTATCAAGTTGTACTGTTAGTATAGGACAAGTGTTGTACTGTCAGTATAGGATGAGTGATTTTTATGAAATCATTTTCATTATATTTAAGTTGGTTTTGATTTGGTATGACATAAGGCAGAACATACCTGCTTAGTAAACTTACTCAATGACGTAATACTTAGGTGAGTAAAATGACTGAAATACGCACATATTTGAAAGCAGTGGGTAACGGAAAATGAAATACACACTCAACATTCCTAATACCCACTCCAAAAAAATACAGTGGGTACATTACCCACATGAGCTAAATCTTATCTGGAGCTCTGGATTGGTAACAATTTTGTCCAGTCAGCAATATTCTAGCTCTATGATAGTGGCCTGTAAACAATGAAGTCAAGGCCAGACAATCTAGTGTTTGATATTTTTTAACAACAATCCAGTTGACTAAGGCAACCAAGGATGAATACCCAATTCGGTGGCCACTCATGGCAAGAACAGGTTTCTGGGGACCCAATTCTAACTGGCATACCTTTTACCAAACCTCAGACCACTAACTAGAAAGGTGGTACTGCCAAATATGAAAAAGTGTCCTTCAGAACCTTTTAACCTTAAGCGAATATTATTTTAATCAGTTCAAATCTGAAAAACAACTTAACAGGAAGGAAAACAGATGGTTCCCAATTTCTACGTCATCCCACACTTGTGGAAATACTGGTCTGTGCATCTGTACTTAAGTAAATGCCTCCACTGACCTGATTCTATAATCTGTCGTAGGTGTCGGACTTTCGGCGCTGCTCCAGACTTCCTGTACAAGCCTTCCGTGAACATACCATTCAGCTCTATCGTCTGTATCAACCTCTCGGCCACCTTCGGCACCTTACAACTCTCGGTCACAAGAGACTCTAATCCAGCACCAAATATCTGCGAGCTCACCTTTCCCTGCAAGAAAGAAAAACAATGTTAAGAAACTGATTTCTTAGATGTTGTTTATTGCCAAACTCAGAAATATTCCAGCTATATGACAACCTGTAAATCACTGAAAGTGGACCAGACAACCCAGTGATTGATATTAATCCCCATCGTGATATTGCTAGAATATTGCAAAAAAGTGGCATAAAACTTAACTCACATACTCACATGACAACTGAGTTCCTGGGAATTATTGTGGAGAAAGAAGGGACGTGTACTTCTAAATGTGCTCTCACCTGAGTATCTAGAGCTCCTCGACAGGTCGGCATCGTCTTGGTGCTGCACTTTTTATGACACGTATATTTACACACTGAAAACAGAACAACTGATAATTTACAATCTAAATCTGACATTTAATTTATTAACATAAAAATGATGACATCTATAAATCATGCCAAAACATCATTGACACATGAAATATCATCACTGGATATTAAATAAGTGAATGAAGTCATATATGAAACAATCAGTTCCATCACATCTATCTGTCTGTCTGTCTGTCTGAATGTATGTATGTATGAAAAGGGTACTGGGAATAACCTCCCTACTTGATATCTTTAAGGATAAACAAGTACAGTTTGAGAGGGTCAGCCTGCCACTGTGCATACAATGGCTAGGCATATGGAGTGCAGTGTGGTAGCTACCTTGACAGACTTGTCCCTTCTCCATGATCCAGATGAGGGAGGAACACAGTTCACAGAACGTGGGAATGTTAAACTGAACCTGCAGAAACTTGTGACCAAGATGCTCCTGAAATGAACGTACAAAACACTCAACAACCCATCCTGAAACATACATATAAAACGCTCAACAACACATCCTGAAACATACATATAAAACGCTCAACAACACATCCTGAAACATACATACAAAACGCTCAACAACCCATCCTGAAACATACATACAAAATGCTCAACAACCCATCCTGAAACATACAGACATAACACTCAACAATACATCCTAAAATGTACATACAAAACCCATCCTGAAACGTACATACAAAACACTCAACAACCCTTTCATCACTCATTCTCTTCATTCTCATAAAACTCAGCAGCATTAAAATTATTCAGCATAATAATGCCACAAATGACACCATTGTATAAGGATGTTTACCTTTCATAAGATATGGTTCTTCACTACTTAATGTTCAATAATTGGGATGCTAAATAAATATTGACGTGAATCCATTCAACAATAAAGCTGACAATCACTGACTCAAAGACAAAATATCATAAAATTAAAGTAATTTTTCTGAATGAAACAAGCTAGAACTATGTACTGGCCTAAGTCAAGACCCTCAACAGCACTACAGCTCAACAGCTCAACAGCTGAACAGCTAAACAGCACAACAGCACTACAGCTCAACAGCTCAACAGCTCAACAGCTCAACAGCACAACAGCTTAACAGCACTACAGTACTCACAACAGCATCCTTCCTGTTTTTATCTTTCTTGGCATTCTTGTTTTCTACTTTCTTCTCCTCCTTCTTCTTCTCTTCTCTCTTTTTCCCTGCATGATTTTTTATGAACTCATCGAGAAATCCTCGAAATGCATTGATACCCATAGTGACAGGAAATGTTGCATTAGTCCGCTCATGCTTGACTTCCGCACTGAGGCTCTGCTCAAAGTTAGACAGCAGGTCACGATACCGTACACACACAGCATCCTTCTGCAATCATAATCCAATGTACCCTCGTTAACAACGCATATTCATCATTCCTTCTAAAATGTAATTTTTTTATTAAAATTGATATTTTATACTTATCCTGACTCATGCTTAATTGCTTGTCTCCATCTTCTTGCGAATGATAGTGGAACACTTGAAGCCCCTTTTGAAGATCCCTTCAAAAAAGCGGATGTAAAATCACTCCCCCAGTGTTACCTCCCTTAGGTATTTGGGCGGGAAATCCGTCACATGACCAAACACGCTCTTCACTCTCTCCGAATATACGCCCAACACCCGGATTACAGGGAATCCAGAGTGCCATGAGGGGAGGTTGGGAGGGCTGACCTCATGAGTCAAGATAAGTATAAAATATCAATTTTAATAAAAAAAAATCATATTTTTCCTTATCCTGACTCATGCTTAATTGCTTGTAGAATCCAACGGAACCGGTGGTGGGTCAAGCCACTCTGGATTCATAGCTTGCTGATTTATGTCCTGCATACCCCCCTGAGGGAACTTCTTATGGCACTGTGTTGATCCTTTCTTCCAGCTTACTCTGATGAGTCTGGGGGGACCACAACTTGTCACAACATTATGTGTGGATTTATATGACTCCATGTCTTGATGCTCGCATCAAGTGGAGAAGCGACCCTGTACGAGTAAGTCCTTTACAAGTACAGGGTCTGTCACTCATGCTAGCCTGTCCTAGACGTGCGATGGACTCTAAAGCTCTAGCTCTTCAGAGCGTTGGCTTTTACAAGTCACGTGATAAAAGGGTGAGATTCATCTCGGCGCCTTTGAGGAACCGTCAATTGTTGTGCTACAACAAGAGGCCCAAACTGGTGAATGCGGGAGACGTCCTCGGTAGCAATGTCTCTGAGGTAGTGGTTGGCAAACCCCGTCTCCGACTTCCAATAGCAGCCCTCCATTATTGTCGAGATGGAGCAGTTTCCATGCAGAGCGAGTGTTGATGCCAGCGCTCTGACTTTATGAGGGTTGAAGGCTCGTGGAAGCTCAAGTCCTGCTGCTTTGTAGGCTCTTAGGATGACGGCTCTCATCCATATCGAGATCGTTGTACGTGAGACCTCTGTAGGTGTCTCCGTAGATAGAGGGATGAAAAGGCGTTTGAATTTTCGTCTCTTCGTCTTAGACCTTTGTAGGTAGACTTTACATACTCTGACTGGGCATAAGGATAGGTCCTGAGTATCCTGTGGCCCAAGGACTGTCAAGAGTGCTGGGATATGGAACTGTCTGTCTGGTTGACCGGGCAGTTGGATCTTTGCTATGAAGTCCCATCTCAATCCCAGATGTATGATGTTGCGATGTGCATCAAATCGTATTCGTTCAAAGTCCAGAGCATGTATTTCCGACATCCGAGCTGCTGTTGCCAAGGCGATCAGGAACAGAGTTTTGTGTGTTAAAAACTCATAGGATGTCCTTTCGAGTGGTTCGTAAGCGTCACTGGTGAGATGCTGCAAGACTACGTTGAGATCCCAAGCAGGCGCTTTAAATTTCTTTTGTTGGTCTTCCAACTTAAAGGAGCATAGTAGAGCCAGTATCTCTGGTACTTTGGTCAGCTTAACACCCGTCTTCTTGGTCATAACCGTGCTGAGGGCCGCTAGGTATGTAGAGAGTGTTGAACCTTTAAACCGCCTCGTTTGTCTTGACAAAGGTATTCCGCTACTTGAGGATGTGTTGCTTTCATCGCCATGAAGCCCTTCCTCAATGCATATTTCTCAAAACTCTGCCACTTGTCGTCGTACAAGTTGCGGGTTGATCTACGTAGAGCTAGTGTGACTGCTTTCGCTGCTCTGGCGGAATATCCTCTTTTCTTCAAGCAAGTCTTGATACGTTCCATGCGTGTAACTTGAATACTGTTGGATTCCCATGTACTTGCTTGGTGTGCGGATGAATTAATAGGTTCGGCCACTCTGGGAGGTGCAGGGTTGGACTTCCGAGTTGTTGTATGAGGATGGGAAACCACACCCTCGCTGGCCAGTAGGGCGCGACCAAAATCAGTTGCAGTTTCTTCGTCTGCTTGATTTTCTGCAACACCTGCGGTATTAGAGCTGAGGGTGGAAATGCGTAAGCGTTTAGTCCTTCCCAGGAGATGCTTAGAGCATATGTTGCCCATGCTGGTGGATCCGGAACTGGAGAGACGAATGTTGGTAGTTGTTTGTTGAACTTTGTAGCAAACAGGTCTATCAGCGGAGATCCTATCCTCTGTATGATGCATCTGAAGGCTTCTGGATGTAACATCCATTCCATCTGGGATGGTTGTGATGGACAAGAAAGGGGGGGGGCTGCTATCACATTCTTGGCTCCAGGAATGTGACATGCTTTTATGTCGATGTTCAGGTTGTCTATTATGCTGAACAGAGATGAAATCTGAGGTCTAGAAGATTCCTTGATCTTGTTGATCCTTGTTTGTTGATGTAGAACACCACTGTGGAGTTGTCCGTATGGATCATCAGTTGTGCGTTCCTTAGTATGCTGGACCAGTGTAGTAAGGTGTTTATTACTGCTTTCATCTCGAGCATGTTGATGTGCAGACTCTGCTCCTGACCTGACCATTTCCCTGCTGCCACTTCGTTGTCGAGGTGGGCTGCCCATCCTTGAAGTGATGCATCTAGGTAGAGATGAGTGTTGCACTCTGGCTCTGATAAGTAGGTTCCTCCGCAAACATTCGACTTCCGAGTCCACCATAGAAAATATGGTTTCAGTCTGTCCGGTAGTCCGAAGGAGTCCAGACTGTCTAGATGAGCGTTCACGAACACTTGTAGTGGGCGATATTGTAGTCTGCCTCTGCGTGTCATGTCTTGTGCTGACGTGAGAAGACCAAGTAGGCTCTGCCAACTTCGTAGTGGTAATGGAGAGAGTAGTGCTTGAGATATCATTTGTTGTATCTTGACCCAATGCTCCTCTGGCACGACTATGCGATTCGCCGGTGTGATGAGCCGTATTCCTAGGAATTGAAGATCCCGTGTGGGTTCTAGTTCCGACTTGAGGAGATTTACTAGCCATCCTAGTTGAGTGAGTAGCCTGATTGTGAAGTCTAGCTGCAGTCTGAGTTGACTGGGATCTTGATGAGCTTGAATCCCGTCATCCAGGTAAAATGCACTGCGTAGACCTCAATGATGTAGATATGTGATGATGGGCTTTGTCACTCGAGTAAACAACCAGGGGGCCGACGATATTCCAAATGGTAGCACCTTCCATTAGAAATGACTTCCGTTGAAAAGGAATCGTAGGTATCTCCTTGAGTCCGGATGCATCGGGCTGGAAGATACGGATCCTGTAGATCTATGCTGGCGTCTAACGGACGAACAACGTTGTTGCAGTTGAGGAAGGTGTATCATTCTGAACTTTGTGGGACTGCGTAGATAATCTTGGTTGAATTTCCTCATGTTGTAGATGAGTCGGAACTTTTCCCTGGAATTTTTCTTTGGTACCAGGAAGATTGGGGAGTAAAAAACGGTCGTAACAAGCTCCTGTTTTATTTCTTCGATCGCCTCCTTCTCGAGTAGAGTTGTGATGGCATCGAGTAGCTTCTCCATCTGGTCGGCAGCATAGTTGTGGGCCAGAGGGTTGCTTGTCAATGGAGGTACTGCTTGTAGTTGTATCTTGTATCCTCTGCGTAGGATCTGGGATACGTAGTCGTCCTGAAGAATTCCCCAATTCTCCCAGTAGCGTTGCAGACGTCCACCCACTGTTGAAGGTTGTATGGGAACGGCTGGGGTGAAAGACTCCAGTCGTTCGAACCCGTTCTTCAGCGTCTAAAGTTCCTGGCACCTCTGGGTGCTCTGCCTCTTCCAGGGTTACCTCTGGGAGTCCGGTTGGGCTTGACGAAGAGATTCCTTGCCTCCTCTGAAGTTGCCGTATTTCTTTTCCCTGGCTCTCTGTATCCCCGTAAACTCGACTTGCCAGAGTAGTGTTGCGATATCTGGACGGATAACACTGGCCAGTGTATCGATGGACTTGATCATCATTACCTTCCTTGACTCTTTTCGTCACTTCTTTGGCCACGTCCTCAATTTCCCCGCGAAGATAGATGATGCTGACCACTGAGCTCTGTACAGTGTCTTGGTGAAGCACTCACTCCAACTTCAGGAAGACAGCAATCCTTGTCTGCTCAAGAGCGTCAGGCCCGCTGATGTGGATGCCAGATGTTTGGACATAAACTGATGATCTTTCTTTTGGGTCAGCAATGCAGAGTAAATCATCCTATCTTCTTCAGAGGTCGAAGTTCCTGAACTTCAAGCGATGAGGGTTTCATTGATGGCTCTTGACCTGGCTAGACCAAAGAAGGTACGTCTGGTAGTTGTGTCAACTTCTTAACCTCTATCTTTATAAGTCCTTGATCGGAGTCGTTGATGATTTTGTAGTTCTCATCTATCTCTGGAGCCTTCATGAAGGGTTCCATGTGGTGAAGTGAGAACTTCTTGGTGTTGAATGGCGGACGCTTTGACTTTGGAACTTCTATGCCTTCCTGAAGGCTGTGCTGAGGTTCTCCGGTACATCCGAGACAGGATCGATGGGTGGAAGGGTAAGCGTAACAAAGTCCTCGTTCGACATCATATACGTGAATGCTTCATTATCCTCTTTAGAAGGTGATGCAAGTTCCAATCCATTAGCCATCCAAGATTTGATCTCTGTATCGGAGAATATGATTCCACCATCATCTTCAGATCTATAGGCCTCTTGTTCTGAAGATCGTCGCCGTTGTGCCTCCTTCCTGCGTGGAGATCTGCGTGGAGACCTGCGCGGAGACCTGCGTGGAGATGTGCCTGAAGACCTTCCTGAAGACCTGCACGCAGGTGACCAGTTCAGATAAGGATCCTCCCTGGAGTCTTGAGACATATCTCTGTGCCTTCGTGAAGGTGTAGATTCTCTTCTACGGGATGCGGGGTATCTGCGCGCAGGCTCCTGATGGCTATCCATATCTGAGGTGGAGGATGATCTGCTTCTGCGATGCTCCGGTGAACATCTGGTTCTGCTCCTGCGCGAAGGCTCCTCTGGAACATCTACTGCAGATTCATCGTTGTCAGGGCTGGCAGGTTCTCGGGGAAGTTGCCCTGGAACATCGTTTAGTGCGTGACCCTTCACATAGGTTCCCTCCTTCACGCAGGCTACCATCTTCAACAGGATGCAATCTGCAGGCTGCATGTCCTTCGTGCAGGCTCGTCGTAGATGGGGCCTTCGCCGCAGCCTTCTCCTGCGCGAACCTCCTTTCCATCAGGTCCAACATCTGCTGAGTAAACGGCTGCATGAAGATACCCGGGTTGACATTCTGCGACGACGGCTGCTGCTGCTGCAAAGATGACAACGCATCTGAGAGTGCTGAGGCTTCTTCCAAGGACCACCGTGCTTGTGAAGAATTGCCGTCTCTGGTATCTGATGTCTGCGTTGATAGAACGTCTGACTGTGCTGAGATGACTGCTGACGTTACTGTAGAAGACCTCGGGGGTTTTTTAACTGATACTTCAGGAATGAGGATGGGTGGCTCGCCATATACGTCTTCTTCATCTGAAGGGATGATCACTGCAGCGAAAGGACCTCGTCTTGCCGAAGACTATGCCGAAGTCTTATCTGCAGACAACTTCTTTTCCTGAGAAGACGAAGCCCTGGTCTTCTTAGACTGCGACGAGGCTACTACTGATGTTGACGACCTCTTCCTGGACCCGGAGCTTCCATCTGCCACAGCAACATGCTCCGTAGTAGCAACAGGTAAATCACTGGAATAATGAATGTCAGCAGACAACAATAAATGGTTATCAGTGCAATCACTCGGTTTAGACATGACTTGTAAAAGCCGTCTAGGCCTGTCCTTGGCACGTCTAAGAATGGAATACAAATAATTATTGAATTCAATTTCAGATAAATGCTGACAAAGTTGACAGCGAAAGCTGGAAGAACATGTAGAAGTGCAATTAGGACATAATAAATACAGATCAGCAACCGACAACCGGTACCCGCAACAAATGCAGGTTTTCATCAATTGTAAACAAGATGTCATGTCAACAACGTGAATAAACAGATAATTTAGGCAAAAATTTCAAATCATATTGCTGGTATATCTTCCTAAATGCCGTATACAGCAAATTTAGTAGTAAAGGCCTAAATATAAAAGGATATAACGCCGTATAGGGGACCCAGGCGCTCTCACAACCGTCCTCTAGGGGGAAGAAGGAGAGAGTGAAGAGCGTGTTTGGTCATGTGACAGATTTCCCCGCCAAAATACCTAAGGGAGGTAACACTGGGTAAGTGATTTTACGTCCGCTTTTTTTAAGGGAGCTTCAAAAGGGGATTCAAGTGTTCCACTATCATTCGCAAGAAGAAGGAGACAAGCAATTAAGCAGGATAAGGAAAAATAATGGGTAACTAATAACATCCAATAGAACAACAACTTTGTAAATTGTTATGAGAGTGTGTTTTTTTTTGTAATTTGTAATATCACATTAAGTGATAGTTATTATGGGTCACAATGTTTAAAGTTTTGAGTGTGGGTTGTGGCTCACATCTTGCATCATATATGTTCAATGGCAATAGTATTTTTAGCGGCACACCTTTTTGTTAGCACTTTAGAGTTGCCTCCCTTGGCAATCTTGTTTATTTACGGCTTTCATCATACCGTGTGTTCCACATGACTCGATAACATTCTGAGTGGATAATGATGGAGCCTAGCTTTGCTAGAATGCTCAAGAACTGTGTAAGAGCTATATAAAGGCTGCTTGTTGAGTTGCGCGGATGGACTTTTCACATGACTGGAGTTATACACATCTGTCTGCCATCATCTCAAGAGCGATCGTGCTTACCTGTTCAACTGTTGTCATTGTAAACAACCTTCAATCAGTATATCTGTTCTCACCGTGAATGTCAAGACTCTGGTGAGTTAATATTTTATATTTATGACCCACTATTTTAGATTTATGGCTCAATTGCATTGTACAAGAAATCTTTATTGCCAATCATTGTAGCTTGCTCATTGTTTGTTCAATATATTATTGAATATTTTAGACTTGCCTGTGTTCTATTTTGCTGGTTCAAAGGGGACTCTTAAACCTTTTGTCACGGCAAATTGTTAACAGTAACAAAATTTATAACTAGATCCCTTATGTATTCTCCTTTTATACACATTTTCACATGTACGTATTACCAAATTATACAATACATCAGACATTGGTTCAGTGCAGGAGTATATAAGAAATACATTTCTCTCCACCCCGTGTATAGTGTTTTAAAGTACAGTTTTGCTATTGTAGTAAGCTGGTTTCAGCTGTAGTAAGCTTGTTTCAGCTGTAGTAAGCAATGGTTCAGTTGAACTAGGCATACCTGTGTTTGATAAATACTTCACAGACAAACATGAGATACTGGGGGCCTGTTGTGCTTACTGACTTTCCATTGAGGCACAGAACACATTCAAGTATTTCCTTTAGTATTCATTTATCACATCAACACTAACATAAGTTTTATTTGGGATTACACTTTCTTAGTAAAGTACTGATTCTAGTACTTTTTGGGGTTGAGTCCCATCCGGGATTCGAACCCACACCGGAACCCACGCTTCCGCCGCAGTGGCTGAGCGTCTGACTTTGTGTGCTGGCGATTAGGTGCCTGACTCTGAGGGTGTGGGTTCGAATCCCGGATGGGATTCAACCCCAAAAAGTAGTAATATCTGTACTTTACTAAGAAAGTGTAATCCCAAATATAACATGTTACATTTGACCACTTTCTAAAATGGCAATGTGTATTTCACATTAACACTAAGCTGAAAGTATTTCCTTTAGTATTCATCTATCACACTAACACTAAGCTGAAAGTATTTCCGTTAGAATTCATCTATCACATTAACACTAAGCTGAAAGTATTTCCTTTAGTATTCTTCTATCACATTAACACTAAGCTGAAAGTATTTCCTTTAGTATTCATCTATCACATTAACACTAAGCTGAAAGTATTTCCTTTAGTATTCATCTATCACACTAACACTAAGCTGAAAGTATTTCCGTTAGAATTCATCTATCACATTAACACTAAGCTGAAAGTATTTCCTTTAGTATTCATCTATCACATCAACACTAAGCTGAAAGTATTTCCTTTAGTATTCTTCTATCACATCAACACTAAGCTGAAAGGAATAGTAGCATTGAAGGAGAGAATTTATGGATGTCAATTTCTTTATCATACGGAACACTTTCTAATAAAGAGGTTGACATCCTCATAATAAACAAGCCAACATTCATATATTCATACTTTATGTGCATCACTTCAAGATGATATTCAAGGACTTGATAGTAGCATTGCTTACCTGGCTTTCTGTTCCAACTATTGCCTTCAAGTTTTTTCGGAATTCTTCTATAGCTCCCTGAAATATTTTATCAAAGATTGTTGCCCGCTTGCCCTCATTCTTGAACACTTCTTCATGCTGTAATCAAATGCAAACATCATAGCAAACACAACAAGAAGACAAAGTCATCAATATCCCCCGCAATGGCAAAATACTCTTCATGATTATGTCTACGAGTTATGATTATGTCAAATATTTAGGTGTGTATATAGAAAAGTGGAAGGAGAGTATTGAAAGGTTTTGAAAGTTCTGCTTCAGAAAGGAGCACTATCACCAATTTCAGTCTTAGTCAAACTTGTTGCCATGGAAATGACAAAAATATTTTATTCAGAATTTCAAAACTACCAAAAGGCACAAGTACACCACCAGATCTATCTATGTGCCAAGTTTGGTGAAGAAATAGTGAATGGTTTTAGAGTTCTGCTCCGGAAAAGAGCAGAACCACCAATTTCAGTCTAAGTCAAACTTGTTGCCATGGAAACGCCAAAAATATTTTATTCAGAATTCCAAAACTACCAAAAGGCACAAGTACACCACCAGACCAATCTATGTGCTAAGTTTGGTGAAGAAATAGTGAACAGTTTTAGAGTTCAGCTCCGGAAAAGAGCACTACCACAATTTCAGGCTAAGTCAAACTTGTTGCCATGGAAACGCCAAAAATATTTTATTCAGAATTCCAAAACTACCAAAAGGCATCAGTACACCACCAGATCTATCTATGTGCCAAGTTTGGTGAAGAAATAGTGAACAGTTTTAGAGGTCAGCTCCGGAAAAGAGCACTACCACAATTTCAGGCTAAGTCAAACTTGTTGCCATGGAAATGCCAAAAATATTTTATTCAGAATTCCAAAACAACCAAAAGGCACAAGTACACCACCAGATCTATCTATGTGCCAAGTTTGGTGAAGAAATATTGAACAGTTTTAGAGTTCTGCTCCGGAAAAGAGCACTACCACCAATTTCAGGCTAAGTCAAACTTGTTGCCATGGAAATGCCAAAAATATTTTATTCAGAATCCAAAACAACCAAAAGGCACAAGTACACCACCAGATCTATCTATGTGCCAAGTTTGGTGAAGAAATATTGAACGGTTTTAGAGTTCTGCTCCGGAAAAGAGCACTACCACCAATTTCAGTCAAAGTCGAACTTGTTGCCATGGAAACGCCAAAAATATTTTATTCAGAATTCCAAAACAACCAAAAGGCACAAGTACACCACCAGATCTATCTATGTGCCAAGTTTGGTGATGAAATAGTGAACGGTTTTAGAGTTATGCTCCGGAAAAGAGCACTACCACAATTTCAGGCTAAGTCAAACATGTTGCCATGGAAACGCCAAAAATATTTAATTCAGAATTCCAAAACAACCAAAGGCACAAGTACACCACCAGATCTATCTATGTGCCAAGTTTGATGAAGAAATATTGAACGGTTTTAGAGTTCAGCTCCGGAAAAGACAAATGTGCACGGACGGACGGACGGACGGACGGACGGTTCGGACGGAGTCCATTTTAATACCCTCCGCAAAACGCGTTGCGGGGGATAAAAAATATTTTGACAATCATGGGTTCTAAAGAAATACCCATTTCCAGCATTTTAAGTTGTACCCAGCCCTTGCAGCATTAAGAAAATACAACATACTTAAATTAGAAAAGAAAATATACTTCCAAAGGGCAAGTGACTGGCTAAAAAACCTATATTGACATTGCATGTTTCCAAGCTGAATTTAAATAAATAAAAAATATATTTATCAAACCTTAATCTGAAATTCCAAAACAGTCATTATATTTCTATTCTGATATGGAAACCATGTTGTATATGGTATTGACTGATTTGAATGCTTATCATATTTGGTAAAATCCATGAACATTGTGAGTCATAAGGAAATAGTTATTTCACTGGCAGGCATTCAAAGGCATTTTGTTAAAATGTTATACCTAATCCTTTTCACTTTATGTGAATACATTATGTTGAAATGTATTTATTGGACTTTATTGAATAAACCATCCTTACCTTCTTTCCAATGAACTCATCCAGAAACATGAGTTCCTGCAAGTCTGTGATGACAAGCTCTGCTGGGTACTGCCACTGGGACGTCCCCTCCACCTTCCAGTTGCCACGAGACTGCACCTGTCCCTGCTGACGCCTCTTCTTCTTCCTCTTCTCCCGCTGCCAGCCATGCTGCGACACAATCTGGAAGTCTCTCTCATTGCGCTCCTTCATGGGAGATCTTGGTGTTATGGGCGTCGCCGTTGGGTGGGGGGGCAATACTGACACACCCACTGAAGTAAAACATATGAACATCAGAGAGAAGCTTAACAATGTCAACAGAAATGTCATCCTGAGCATATACTTATGTGTGACACCTGATACTTAAAACAATCATACCTAATAGTCCCTTCCAACAACAAGGGTAGTAGAAGGGTAGGGTAGTAGTGTTGAAAATACACTTGACCCTAGCAAATACCACAGCAACAAACCAGAACGGTCCCAGGACCAATCCTTATTTCCTGTATTTCAAGTGACTGCCATTTCCTCAATAGACGAAATTGGTAGGAAGTTGAAAATATTGGTTCCTATCAGCATTTCTCCAGCGATATGACTGCAGCCTGTAAGTAATCCGATCTAGACCAAACAAGTGATCAATAGTATGAGCAGCATTCCATGCTACCAGGGTACAATGACCAGCCAGCAACCAAGCTTAAACACCCAAATGTTGCAGGGGACCTATTCTGACCCAGAATACCCAAGGAGCTCTTATTAGTCTGATATAATATGACCTTCCATCCAAGGAGGATCAAGTGAATAGTCACTTACATACAGGTCCCCAGGTATATACTAACAGCATTTTTTTCATTTATTATCATAATCAACAAAACAATCCAGCACCCCTTAACGAAATACTGCCTAATGTCCCCTGGCCAGCAGCTTATTAGCAATGCATAAACCCATTTAACAATACAACCACAGTATCCTCATGGAACACATCACTCAATGTTTTCAGTCATACTATGGACTTATGACATAACTGGGTGCTATGCCAAAAGGGTCTCTTTAATTTGATGTCAATTCATGGCACTATACTTCAAAAAGAAAACTGTAAAAGAAATGTGACACTAGAAGAAAGCTGCTACTGCTTGTTGCCAGTGATAATGACAGAAAGCTGCAGCGACAGATATGACCATGCAAGGTGCCCATCACATGATCTGGGAGTGAGAGAAGCTTCAACTTCTTCTCAAGTCATTACAACATGATAAGGATAATGCTCAAGAGAGCATGAGTAAATCAACAAATCCACTTGCGAGATTCTTACATTACTGAGATTTCCATAGTACAAAAAACATTCCCCAAAGCTGACAGACCAACAATTGTAATAACAGACAATCAATGCCAAATAATAACATGAAACTCAACTTAGCATGGACCTGATTGGTTAAGGGCTATCCACAAACAGATCATATCCAGAACAATTTGAGAGCAAATAATCTCAAGTCTGACAGTGATTACCAGCACTTTGTTTCTAAAAAAATGCAACACACACAACTTATTGTAGAAGTTAAAATTTGAAAAATTAACATTTAAAATCATTGCAACACATGTTAACAGAATCAATATTGAAACAAATTCCTTGCAGTGGTGTTTACTATATATCTGCATTTAGGTCTTACCTTTACAACTTGGTGAAAACATTCTATCAAAGACTGAGCTGACATATAGGTGGCACATGTTTGAACGTGTGCTACTTGTTTGTGTAACAACTGACTGATCATCAGCCCTCTTGTAGTACACTATGTGTGAATATGATTATCATAATTATGTTGCTGTCCATAAGGTTGAAGTCACTCATGGATTAACGTCATTAATGGAGTTTCCTACACACTAATTCAATCAGAAAGACATCAATCCCTATACGCTCATCTTCACAAAATCTACTTATGTGAGGGTACCAACAGATGCAATGTGAACAATCCCTATACGCTCATCTTCACAAAATCTACTTATGTGAGGGTACCAACAGATGCAATGTGAACAGGCTAGGAATGTCTGAAAATTTATCTTTGTTATAAAAACACTCAAAATCTTTTCATCCTTTCTAAAACATATCTAAAATGTGTAATAATAAAACAGAATTTTGCCAGTGTATTCTTCACTGTGCTAATACTCCTCAAAGAGACTACAGGTCCTAATTACACTTATGGTAACATGACACACATACATGTAGACCCTCAATCATCTCTTCTGCACCATGTTCTTTTTAGAACTGGCTGTAAAAAGATATTCAGAAATATCAACCTTGATACTAATACCAGGATGTCAAGATGGAAATCTCGAACTTTAAAAGATGAAAGTCTTCAATGTCAGTGCAAAACAGCCCAAGAACCTATACCATATGTATAATTCCCATATCAACCTAATATTGAAAATACATTTACCATAAATTGTTCAATGTTAAGAATAATTGCCATGCCTTAAACCCCCATCACAGTTGCATTCTTTCATTATTTAAGTGACTAAAATACTGACATAAATGCATATCTGTGTTCTACACCATTGCCCCCTAAATCAATAGTATTTTAGCTGCAAAGTCATGGAAAAAAATACTCTGATGAAAAGTCACACACTTCACATAAAATTTTGTACCAGTAACTCAAAGTTTAGTTGAAGAGACGGACTTTTCACAAATTTAATTGAATTTTTATTTATTCTGAAAGCCTGATGGAAGAAAAACATGTCTGTTGATACAAACATGAGTCATGATTCTGATCATGCAGGTATATGAGGCCATTTCCTAGTTATGTGATTAGCCTTGAATTAACTCTGCAGATAGTGCTGCTGTCGCTTTTCTCTGGACCAGGCAGCTGTTGGTCCCATCACGTGAGGACATGTTACAAGGACGATTGTTGTTAGTGTTTACAATGTAAGTAACATGCGTCTACTGCTGACGTTAGAAGCACAACATGGAGCAAACATGCGTAATTGTTTATGTCACACAATATTTATTATGTACATGAAGAGGTGTTATGCCTAGTAGAGTTGACTTATTTGGGTTTCACAAATAATTGCTGGATTTGTGCTTCAGGAAAGAGGACACAAGAGGTCTTTGAAACTGTGATGATTCCAATAGTCAACTCATCACATGAAAGTTGGATTTACAGACAAATTTCCAATATCACATACAGATGAATCCTTCAACTTCTTTGAGAGAAATGAGGATAAGACTTATGGATGAACTACCCAAACTTATTAAGCAAGTCAACATTGATGTATCCTTATCTTTACCTGCTTTTAAGTGAGTGAGTTTAGTTTATGCCGCTTTTAGCAATATCACACAAGGGGACACTAGAAATGGGCTTCACACATTGTACCCATGTGGGAAAATCAAACCCGTTTCTTCACTATGACTAGCAAACGCTTTAACCACAAGGCTACCCCAACCCCCCTGCTTGTAAGAAGCTGTGGTAACAATGAAGATAGTGTTGGTTTTGGTTTGGTTTATTGTTTTACGCTGCACACAGCAATATTTCAGCTATATGGTGTCAGTCTGTCAATAAAAGAGTCTGGACCAGACAATCCAGTGATCATCAGCATGAGCATCAATCTATGCAACTGGGATATGATGACATCTGTCAATCAAGTCTGACAACCAATCCCTTTGTCGCCTCTTACGACAAGCATGGGTTACTGAAGACCCATTCCAACCAGATCTTCATTGGTAGTAGATGTTCCTACTCAGTATGACTTGTCATACACTACTGCAAGTGACGTCAACTGTGAATTGGTAGAGACTGACTGGTCCATCACTTATTTATTTCAGTCTTACATGGCATTACGAATGTCACTCTAAACCATAACTGAACTATTGAGGTTTTCTATAAAGATATACCACACATGGAAAATCAAACCCTTCTGTGTGACCAGCGGTCACTTGAACATCTACGCTACCCCACACCCCTATCAGGTTTACAAAGGTTTACTCTCAGTCACTGAACACTGAACCCATTTGTGATCACTTACAATCTTGAGGGCGTTTACTGGGTGACGTTTTACTGCTGGGTGAGCCGGCCTCCTCAGATTCCTCGTCGCTGTCTGTATGTCCTCTCTCTTTCTTCTTGCCTGGAATACAACACTAGCATCGTCTACACTCCCACTCACTTGAAAACACCACTTGTCATAGATCACACCTTATACATGTAACTGTCCTACCTGCTGGGTCACTACCTGACAGTTCGATTGACTCATTTATGAACACTGGTTAACATACTGGGTCTTACATGTTTCTATCACCATGGAAACATAAAGATCAACACTTAGACCCTGAATCTTGAGTCAGTGTCATCCTTTTCAAATTCTTCCTCAGTTATACATAAAGCATGTATTATCTTAGGCAAATGTTTACTGGATCACAAATGTAATATTCATAACAAGATTTCAAAAAAGAAATTGTCAGGAAATATATCTGGAATTATCATTTTTCACTTCAGTGCTATTTATAGCCAGCTTGCTTATTGACTGATCTTCTGTTGTACTAATGAGAAAATGTTAATGTGGCTATGAAATCCAAACATTTGTGCTGTTGCAAGTAAATGATAAAGTTATGCACAGTGGTTTATTATTCAGAAAGACTAAACACACAATCTTCATTTCAAGTGTCAATCATATTTAGATAAGAAACCAGTATGTAGTTTGAAGATAAGATCGTTAGCAATAAGATTTCATTCTCAGATGGAAATTTCAACAAGAGACGGTTGCTTGAAGGAAAACATGGGATCATTCACAGAGAAAAAACCTGCATTAATGATAATTCACATACTCAAGCAAGATATTGTAAAGATAAATATAACCATTCTGTATTTGAAGAGGAATTTTCCATAGTTTCAGCCCCAGAAGTTGGAACATTGGAGACAATGATTGCAGCCAAGATTTGGATGAGAGTGAAGCCCTGTGCATGCCAGTTGGAGAGTGTCAGGATTAGTGGGCACGTGCAGTAAAGTATCACTACTGGGCGAGTCCAGACACACGCTTATAACTCACTCTTGTCGCGAAATAGAGTTCGGAATGAATTCCTTGTGTGGCGCATGATAAGGGTAGAGGGACCACAACCTTTGGCGTCTATAAAATCTAGAGATCAACAATTGGCTTACACTACACACATTTACATTCATGTGAAAAACGAAGGTGAATCAAAAGTTCAAAGAAACATGCAGTAAGTTGTGATGAGCTGAAAACATGTCAAAACATCAGTTAGCAAGACTTTACTCTTAAACTTAAGATCAATCTACCCGTAATCTTGTAAATTATCAGACACACCTGATCTGAATTGAAAACATCTGATTACATATCCTTTGTCTAGACATTGAAAATATAAACGAACTCACACATCTACAAATCTTACAACTAAACATGCACTAACATACAGAGGGTAAGTTTCAAACTTGAAATTCAGGATCCAAACACACGATCATCCATGCCAAATACGCAGCTTAGTTTGTTTAACTATGAAATGCAGAGAGAAGCACCTACGGACAGTGACAGACAAGATCTCCAGTACAACCCACCTCCCATCATGTTCTTAAAGCCTTTCTTCACCCTGTGGAATGGACTAAGATGAGGAGGGCCACCTGCTACATCGGGCTGCAGTCTGTCTCCATCAACCTGCTGCTGGTCATGCCTGTCCCTGTGTTTGGACACCACATGTTCTATGGCCTGTATCTTGTCCGGGGACAAGGGGAATGCTGTGGTTAATGTGTCCGACGGCTGAGTAGGGGACAATTCCTGATTGGTCAAAAGAAACATTCAGTAATTTACGTCTTTCACTATGATACTACAATTCCATATTCTTCCATATTAATTCTTCGACAATTATTCTACTTTTGCGTGATGGACTTATTCGTTAAAGTATACTAGTGCTACTCCACAGAGAGAAAATTAACAAATAATTCAGTGAATCTCCTTGCCTGCTATAAAATTCTAACAAAGAAAACTACATGACAGTTTAACATATGAAATCTGCTACAGTGTTAAGCAATTAGTGAATTAGATATATATTAGTAGACTTCGAGTTTATCTGTTAGCACATATAACTACAAACTGTCTAAACAGAGGTTCTCCCCAATCAAGAGATCAGTCAACACATAAACAAGGTTCACAAAGTGACCCTTCTGATGAAATGCCGAATGCACGTATGTTTCGACGCATTCCCAAAGCAAAACAGTAGCATGTGGCAGTGGTATTTTGAGACAGGCATTCCACCTCATCACATCAAAGCTTGTAGGAGACAAATTGGTATTACAACCCAATTGAAAAACAAAACTCTATAAATCCATGCAGATTGCATATTATTTCAATCACACCATCAGCATGAGAGTATTTGAACACTTAACATAACTGGAGAAATGTTGTGTTTTTGGAGTGACACACAGTATCAGCACGGATCATCGGTTTTTGCAAGAAACAAAAGCTGCACAATGTCAACAATTCTTAAAATTAGTGCTTTAGCTTATAGTGTAGGAATGTTATAATAGCAAGTTAGTGCTTTAGCTTAAACTGTAGGAATGTTATAATAGCAAGTTAGTGCTTTAGCTTATAGCGTAGGAATGTTATGGGCTTCTGTGTGTATGTCAAGGAATCAAATCCTGTTGCTGACACGATGAGCTCACCATATATTTTGCATATATTGTTTCTAAGTCCATGACCTAAATGTGGAGTATCAAATACAAGGGACTTCAGATGTACCCTAAAATAACTGTGTTACAAAGTGTTACAAGCGATGGTACTGATGACAGGAGTTTAATGCTGCATACATGCTGGATACCCAGGTTTTGAAACCACACATTGCAAGTGCTTAATGCAGATGAAACATTACATGCAAATGTTCAAGGATATTTCTATTTTATACTTATCAAAATCTTATAATAGAGTAATTTATATATCTTTATTTCTATGAGAAAGCCAGCTTGATAATTTGCAAATATTCTGGCACAGAATTCAGTAGCAACAGTGATTGACTTTAGTTTTATGCCGCTTCAAGCAATATTCCAGCAATATCATGGCAGGGGACACCAGAAATGGGCTTCATACATCGTGCCCATGTGGGGAATCAAACCCTGGTCAGTTGCAAGATCAGTAACTGTAACCCTCATGTTCTATCTTTTACATATATTTCCATATATGTTACCTTAAAAAAATCAAACTACATTTTCGGGTGTTAATTTCCTGAGAAAAAGCTGGTGTGTCCCAATGTTTTCACTGAGCAAAGACAACAATGACGATAGTGTGCAGGAGATGCATGACCAAGTCAGTGAAGCTGGTGAACTGATGAAATTATGGACGCCACGAAGAACTGTAAAAACAGTGAATGATTACACAAAGGGATGCAACTGAATTTAGGAGACTACTCAGGAGTTTTTTGTACAGAAAAGGAAACATTGTCAGTTCGAGTGAACACTAATTCTCACAAGAAAAAGCTAACACAAAGTAGTCTGTGAGAACTGTGTAAAATTGAGAAGCACTTTCTGCTACATTTTTATACAACTTTTCCTGATTTCAGAATAGTTTTTGTTCGAAATTTTCTTTGAAAGGCATTTTAGACGTTGCGAAGATGAAGGAAAACTAAGTTCTATGGATAGTCAACTTCTTTATTGCAATGAATGCAACGTTTCGGTGTAGGTACTAACATCGTTATCAAGCAAGTGAGTTTCAAATTTGTTTTGCAAAAACATTACATAACTCATTCTTTATTACTTCCAAAAGTTATTATGCCTACATAAATGGCATCCACATCAGTTTCACTGAAGTAAGTTAAACTTTGAAACAAAACCAAGTTGTTTCCACCAAAGGTTCAAACCAATAAGATAAGTTACCCAGTTTGATTTCCATGACAATACATGACACAAGCAAGGTGGCGTGCCAATAAAAGGGACAGACAGACAGACAGACAGACAGACAGACAGACAGACAAAGAAAGACAGATATGACATGGTTTGGAAAAAGATGAATGAATGAAGTTTTCTTATCTGGAGAAATACATGAACCCTGTCAGTCTTGTTTACGGAAAATGTTTAAATCACTTTTTACTGGTGGACAGTTTTAAGGAATAGAAAACAATACTTTGAATAGTTCTGTCCGTGCATTTCTGTTGAGGTATGAAATATGGAAAATGCTAACAAATATGTAAAATATTCAGATTTTTTGGGAACTGTCAAACCCAACTTTTCCAGAAATTTGACTGCAAACACTAAACGGTTCTTTATCATAACTGAAAACTGATTTCATCTGAAAAAATTAGTAAGAAATAGAGATGTCAATAAATTAATAGATTACAAGTTCCTGTCACTACTGTACTCTATATACAGGGTCTTCCCAGACTCAGTAACTGTAGTTTATTGTGAGGACTCTCCAAGTAGAACTCTCAGCATAATATGTTGTCAAACACCAATTTTTAAACAGCCATAGTAAATTATCAGTAATCTTGTAGAGAAACCCAACAAAATATACTATCAACTAAATAACTGTGTAATTCCACTTTAGATTTCAAAATGTTCATGCAAGAAACAAGACATTTACTTTTATAGTATACATGAGGCCCTTCTTACATCAGTCGGCACGCTCCTCTGGGAAAACCCTGTGCTAGTCTTGATAATACACTGTCAGTGGTTGTACAAACATGCCGCTATTAGGATGTTCTCCAGATAAGACCTATAGTGTAATGTCCTGCACGAATGCACTATATCTGTCAAACAGGGACACAAAGCTAGCCTGCAGCGGCAACAAACGGGGACGATGCCTCACCATATCGGAGAAAGACTCCTGTTTAGCTAGAGGGGCTGGGCTCTGCTCTTTGGGTTTCCATCTTTGAGATCCTCGGCGGATAAAATACTTCCTGCCGTCATTCTGATTGGCGTAATAGAGGAGTTGACATGGTCAAATTAGAGCCCAGTCTAAATGGCTTCAAGTGCAAACTGTGCTTATCCATGTTACAACAAGCATTCCTTTAACAGCTTACGACGTTCCTAAATACATCGCTCTGGACAATCAACTTTGACCTTAACAATCAACTTCTTGTTTACTGTGGAATCATTTCCAATTTACCTTTTCTTCCATGCATAGGAAACGATATAAACATGTTAGAAAGTTGAACATCCTGACCAAAGGATCAAATGGACATTAGACACAAAACTGTTGATCTACTCTCAGTAGTACACAGGTTCCGTTTAAATGTAACAGACTACAAAGATCAGAAATATAGACATTTTGTGAGAAAGTTGTGCAACCACACGGTGTTTGTGTGCGCCAAGTTACCAGTGCCATCACGTCATGCAACCCTCCATGCTCCATTTGACATCACTACAATATGGGAGCACAGAGATGTGTGTGACTGCACACCAAAAGAGACACGTAGTGCAATTGGCTGCTTCTGCAGGTGCCGCTAACTTAACCCTCATGCCATATCCATTTGAAACTAGCTTCTGGTTTAAAATTCAACGCGCACTGTAAGTGACTAGCCATTGTGAACACAAAAAAGCAAACAAAGTTTTAAAAAGGTTCCAAATAATGTTCTTACAAGGTGATATTATTTCATATTTTTCCCACAGTTCAATTAACTGAAACGTGACTAGCCATTGTGATCACAAGAAAGCAAACAAAATTAGAGAAAGGTTTCAAAATAATTTTCTTACGCTGTGATAATTATTTGATATTTTGCAACAAAGTCCCACAGGAAGTTTACACAATTAAAGGTTTCATTAACTGAAAAAGCATTTTGCAAAATAAGACAATACTATAGGACCATTTGTAACAGAATGTTGAATCAACAGCTATGAATTACCTTGTGATAAACATACATAGTAGGGAAGATATAACATACAACATAACCCAAAACTAGAGGACATGGGAGGTTACTCTGGTACAACTTGGACAAGGGAAGTTACTCTGGTTTCACAATTTTCATGTGAATATGTGCTCACAAATAATACAAAGGAAGCAGAGCTGTAAAGTGTTAGCAACAATGACCCCTGCTCACCAACTCGTAGATGTTAAAATGAAATTGAGCCAAAGCAATATTATCTATGTTTCTAGCCTTGATAACAACGTTCACTTGTCGACGTTAAAAAGATATGATACCAGTCATCAAAAAAGCTGGTTTCCAAATGAGATATCATGACATTATCCACTGTAACAACTATCCTAATGCTCATACTCTCGCCCACTGTATCCTAGTGCCTATGCCAGCTAATATTGTGTCTGTCTATGACTTTTCAGTGCAAAGGCTTAGCCAACACCAAGACTTACCTCGTCCTTACTCGGCGTAGTTGGCTGAGACTGGAAGGCCCGAGCCAGTTCTTGCACTCTGAAATATTTGCAAATGTTTCATAATGCTACATATGTTGCTATGCACCATCTTTGTGAATGTCTGCAAGTATATAATTTCTGGAATAATAAACGGAAATTTTCATACTACAAATCTTGCCATTGCAGTCTTTCAAGATCTTGTACAGAGCCTGAGCTGCACGAGTCCAGAGCAAAGGATCACACAAACTGTACACAACCTATATTCAGTTCCCTACAACTGTCCTGCTGAGATATTCTGTACACAACCTATATTCAGTTCCCTACAACTGTCCTGATGAGATATTCTGTACACAACCTATATTCAGTTACCCATAACTGTCCTGATGAGATATTCTGTACACAACCTATATTCAGTTCCCTACAACTGTCCTGATGAGATATTCTGTACACAACCTATATTCAGTTCCCTATAACTGTCCTGATGAGATATTCTGTACACAACCTACATTCAGTTCCCCATAACTGTCCTGATGAGATATTCTGTACACAACCTACATTCAGTTCCCTATGTCAGTCCTGCTGAGATCTCCTGACCCACACTAACATTCAGTTCCCTACAACTGTCCTGCTGAGATCTCCTGAACCACCTCTAACATTCAGTTCCCTACAACTGTCCTGCTGAGATCTCCTGAACCACCTCTAACATTCAGTTCCCTATAACTGTCCTGCTGAGATATTCTGTACACAACCTACATTCAGTTCCCTACAACTGTCCTGCTGAGATCTCCTGAACCACCTCTAACATTCAGTTCCCTACAACTGTCCTGCTGAGATCTCCTGAACCACCTCTAACATTCAGTTCCCTATAACTGTCCTGATGAGATATTCTGTACACAACCTACATTCAGTTCCCTACAACTGTCCTGCTGAGATCTCCTGAACCACCTCTAACATTCAGTTCCCTACAACTGTCCTGATGAGATATTCTGTACACAACCTATATTCAGTTCCCTACAACTGTCCTGATGAGATCTCCTGAACCACCTCTAACATTCAGTTCCCTACAACTGTCCTGATGAGATCTCCTGAACCACACTAACATTCAGTTCCCTACAACTGTCCTGATGAGATCTCCTGAACCACCTCTAACATTCAGTTCCCTACAACTATCCTGCTGAGATATTCTGTACACAACCTATATTCAGTTCCCTACAACTGTCCTGCTGAGATCTCCTGAACCACCTCTAACATTCAGTTCCCTACAACTGTCCTGATGAGATATTCTGTACACAACCTATATTCAGTTCCCTACAACTGTCCTGATGAGATCTCCTGAACCACCTCTAACATTCAGTTCCCTACAACTGTCCTGCTGAGATATTCTGTACACAACCTATATTCAGTTCCCTACAACTGTCCTGATGAGATCTCCTGAACCACCTCTAACATTCAGTTCCCTACAACTGTCCTGATGAGATATTCTGTACACAACCTATATTCAGTTCCCTATAACTGTCCTGCTGAGATCTCCTGAACCACCTCTAACATTCAGTTCCCTATAACTGTCCTGATGAGATATTCTGTACACAACCTACATTCAGTTCCCTACAACTGTCCTGCTGAGATCTCCTGAACCACCTCTAACATTCAGTTCCCTACTGTCCTCATTCTGTACCACAACCTATATTCCCTACAACTGTCCTGCTGAGATATTCTGTACACAACCTATATTCAGTTCCCTATAACTGTCCTGATGAGATATTCTGTACACAACCTACATTCAGTTCCCTACAACTGTCCTGCTGAGATCTCCTGAACCACCTCTAACATTCAGTTCCCTATAACTGTCCTGCTGAGATATTCTGTACACAACCTACATTCAGTTCCCTACAACTGTCCTGCTGAGATCTCCTGAACCACCTCTAACATTCAGTTCCCTACAACTGTCCTGCTGAGATCTCCTGAACCACACTAACATTCAGTTCCCTACAACTGTCCTGCTGAGATCTCCTGAACCACCTCTAACATTTAGTTCCCTATAACTGTCCTACTGAGATATTCTGTACACAACCTACATTCAGTTCCCTACAACTGTCCTACTGAGATCTCCTGAACCACCTCTACATTCAGTTCCCTATGTCAGTCCTGCTGAGATCTCCTGAACCACCTCTATATTCAGTTCCCTACAACTGTCCTACTGAGATCTCCTGAACCACCTCTACATTCAGTTCTCTATGACAGTCCTACTGAGATCTCCTGAACCACCTCTACATTCAGTTCCCTATGTCAGTCCTGCTGAGATCTCCTGAACCACCTCTACATTCAGTTCTCTATGACAGTCCTACTGAGATCTCCTGAACCACCTCTACATTCAGTTCCCTATGACAGTCCTGCTGAGATCTCCTGAACCACCTCTACATTCAGTTCCCTATGTCAGTCCTGCTGAGATCTCCTGAACCACCTCTACATTCAGTTCCCTATGTCAGTCCTGCTGAGATCTCCTGAACCACCTCTAACATTCAGTTCCCTATGTCAGTCCTGCTGAGATCTCCTGAACCACCTCTACATTCAGTTCCCCACAACAGTTCTACTGACATCTGCTGTACCCCAGCTTCCACTTGGGTGTCCCTACCTCCCGGGGCTCCTGGTATGTTCCCAGCTATCATCTTTATTTTCTCCACGAGGTATAAACACTGACCCTGACCCAGAACTGGTAGGGGTGATGGGAGGTGATGCCCCTGACACAACTCGGCTCTTGGGCTCAGATGTTGTCTCCGACTCTGAGTCTTCAAGGATACCACTGCTCCTGGTAACAAAACACACACTTGACAAAAGGAAGCACTGAACAAATATATCGAACATTTGTGTTCAATCATTTGCGAAAAAATCTGTACCAACAAATATTAAATAGTTCAACATAAATGAATGCTTTCCCAGATCACACTTATCCAAAATGAGAATAAGAGTGTTGCCTTATGCCAGCTAGATATATTACAGCCGTATGACTATAAGCAAATGATTCAGTACCAGTCAAACCAGTGGTTGATAACATGAGCAATGGAACTACAAATGATACATGATCAGCAAAGTTATAACACTGTGATCAGGCCAATCCTCACTTTATTCAGTCTGTAGTTAAACCAGTCTAAAGAGTAATCTTATCACTCAGGGACTATCGCAGGTTAATGCATGGAAGTTACGATCAACTCTGGCGCTAAGATCGCTTTCAAAATGTGGCACTGAACACCACAACTTTAGTGAGTCAGGTGTTATGCTGCAAATTTCGAGCCATATTGTAGCTGGGGTCACTAGAAATGGGCTTCACACATTGTGCCTATGTGGGGAATAGGACACAGGCCGTTAGAATGACGAGCAAACACTAGACTCGACTAAGCCGCCCTTGACAACTTGTAGTGGAGGATGTACTCACTCCTCTGAGTCTCTCCTGTGTAGTGCTTGACATTCACGCTCCAACAACTCCTCAGCACTGGAGCCCTTCAGCAGCACGCCTTCATCGCTGGTGGATGACTGCAAGTCTTCCAGTTTCTGCCGCACTTGTTCTTCTTCTGCCTTCCGCTTGATGTCACGGTTGACCAACATTTGGTGATGTCTGCAGCAAACATGACAGGTAGTTAACAAAGTAATATATCATGGAACCATTGTTGTGCTTTCACTGGAACAGGTCAGGTACAACTATACTTTAATACACCACACACGAAGGCAACAACAACTATTTCTTTCAAAATTCAAGATTCTTTTAAGAGAAAGAACTATTTCTCTCATATTTCACGATTTACTGATCACAAACATCTTACATATATCATAAATAACTGCAAGTTTGCAAATAATATATCACGGATAATTCTTGCTATAATGTAATTTTTGGAGTAAAATTGATATTTTATACTTATCTGACTCATGCTCTTTTTGCTTGTCTTCTTCTTCTTGCGAACATAGTGGAACACTTGTATCTCCCTAATTGAAGCTCCTTCAATTTAAAATCACTAATTAGTATTCACCACGAGTTACCTCCTTTCCTGGCAGCGGGGAGCGAGCCACCCTCTACCCATGTGCCTCACTCTCTCCTCATATACTGAGCCCAACATTTGAATTTACAGGAAATCCAAAGTGTTATTTGGGGAGGATGGGAGGGCTGACCTCATGAGTCAGGATAAGTATAAAATATCAATTTTACTCCAAAATTACATATTTTTCCTTATCCTGACTCATCTCTTGCTTGTAGCATCCTACGGAGCGAGGAGGTGGGAATACTAATACTTTGGATTTTTAATAATTAGTGATTTGAACTGTGATGATTGTAATAACCCTATGGGAACTTCATAAAGGCACTGAACTGATGAATTCCTGCTGCTAACTTATCAGCTGCCATATAAAGGTTATTACCATGTACTTATTATGATAAAGTATATATAACATTAATACAATGCTTAAGACTAATAGACTTAAGCTTGTTAATATGCTAGTATAAACTCCTTAGAGTTTGTTAGCTAAAATACTTTAAGATATAACATAGTACTAAGCTTAAGATATGATTAAACTTAAGCTAATTATATAATAGCAAACTCTTTAGAGTTTGTTAGTTAATACTCTTATATGATATAGATATAATGCTGAGCTTAAGATATGAATAAGCTTTAGCTATATATATAATAGCAAAAACTCTGTAGAGTTTGTTAGCTAATATATTTTTATAATATGAGTATAGTACTGTGCTTAAGCTATAATTAACTTAAGCTACATATATAATAGCCAAACTCTGTAGAGTTTGTTAGCTAATATATATTTTTATAATATGAGTATAGTACTGTGCTTAAGCTATAATTAACTTAAGCTACATATATAATAGCCAAACTCTGTAGAGTTTGTTAGCTAATATATATTATAATATTAGTATAGTACTGAGCTTAAGATATAATTGCTTAAGCTACATATATATAGCAAAACTCTGTAGGGTTTTGTTAGCTAATATATTTTTACAATATGAGTATAGTAGTGTGCTTAAGATATAATTAACTTAAGCTACATATATAATAGCAAAACTCCGTAGAGTTTGTTAGCTAATATATTTTACAATATGAGTATAGTAGTGTGCTTAAGATATAATGAACTTAAGCTACATATATAATAGCAGAACTCCATTAGAGTTTGTTAGCTAATATATTTTACAATATGAGTATAGTATTGTGCTTAAGATATTATTAACTTAAGCTACATATATAATAGCCAAAAAAAACTCTGTAGAGTTTATTAGCTAATATGTTTATAGTGTAACCATAGTACTAAGCTTAAGATAAGATTAGACTTAAGCTAAATGTATATAGCAAAATAAACTCCTTAGAGTTTATTAACTAATATACTTTTATGTTAAAACATAGTACTGAGCTTAAGTTATGATGAAACTTAAAGCTATATATATATAATAACAAAACTCAAATTAGAGTTTTGTTGCTAGCTATCTGCTATAATGTAAACATACTGCTTAAGATATGATGAAAACTTAAGCTAATTGTATAATAAGCAGAAAACAACCCTTTAGAGTTTGTTAGCTATGATATAAACCTAGTATTGAGCTTATGAAGGAAAACTTAAGCTACATATATAATAGCAAGAACTCCATTAGAGTTTGTTAGCTAATACATGTTATAATGTAACCATAAAGCTTAAAATATGATGAAACTTAGCCGAGAAATATATAATAGCAAAACCCTCTTTTAGAGTTTTGATAGCTAATATACCTATATGATATAAACATAGTACTAAGCTTAAGATATGAATAAGCTTAAGTTACATATATAATAGCTAAAACTCTGTAGAGTTTGTTAGCTAATACATGTTATAATATAACCATATTGCTTAGAAATATGATGATACTTAAGCCAAATAGCAAAAACTCTTTAGAGTTTGTTAGCTAATCTACTTATATGATATAAACATAGTACTAAGCTTAAGATATGAATAAGCTTAAGCTACCTATATAATAGCAAAACTCCTTAGAGTTTGTTAGCCAATATATTTTAATAATATGAGTATAGTACTATGCTTAAGGTATAATTAGCTTAAGTTACCTATATAATAGTAAAACTCCGTAGAGTTTGTTAGCTTAATTAACTTAAGCTATGTATAAAATAGCCAAAAAAACTCTGTAGAGTTTGTTGGCTAATGCATTTATCATGTAACCATAGTATTACTCTTAAGATATGAATAACTTAAGGTAAATATATATAATAACAAACTCTGTAGAGTTGTTAACTTATATATTGTATGATGTAATAATCATAGTACTGTGATGATAAAAGGAACTTAAGTAAATTATATATAGCATGAAGCTATTTAGTATTGTTATAAGATAAGTAAAATCTGTTAGATTGACTTATCTTCTCGAGAGAACTGTCAGCTGTTGTCTTGAGAGGACCATGGGATCGAATTGGTGTATACCTGAGGCGTCCTCGGTGGTGATATCTCTCAGATAATGGTTTGCAACCACCATATCCAGTTCAGAAATAAACCCTCCATTATTTCAATCACATTTGTGTAGAACAATTCTAGAAGTTAAGCTATAATATCATGAGTATTAAGCTCATGGAGGGTCGGAATAGGTCCATCCATATGCCGTAGTATGACAGTTCTGATCCAAATGGAGATATAGTACATGAGACTTCACTCTGCGTAAGTTGATGATAGAGGAAATAATCTGTTGCATTTTTTTTTTCCTCCTGTTTGGTTTAGTGGAGATAAATTTACAGTGCTCTTGCTGGCCATCTTGATAGAATCATCGTATCATGGGGTCCAAGTATGTCATCCAAGCGTGTTCATAAACCTCACTTGTGAGGTGTTGGAGTACTATATTCATATCCCAGGTTTGAAGTGAAATTTCCGTTTTATTCTCCAAACAGAAGTTTAGTAGGTTTACTAACCATCTAGTTGTGTTAATTAAGCTTGATGAAATTCAGCTGTAGTCTGAAGCGCTGTGGATTTAGATCCACTTGTATCTTTCGTCCTAGGTAATTAAGCTCACGAAGTCCTTGGCGATGTAGGTGCACAACCAGGTGTGTCTGTCCTCGTTGAACTTTATGTAAAAAATCGCCTGACTGCGATCCCTCGTCTTAACTTGACAGGGGAGGTCTCTATGAAGAAAGGCAGTCTAATCATGAATGTTCAGGTTAACTGGACTGTAATGAGGCTTGCTCGTTCACTGATATATAGTTGTCACTTGTGGCGTAAGTCTTGAACTGTGAACAGAGATCGACCTCTGTGTAGGTCGTTGTCCCTCAGCGGTCCAATCAGAACAAGGCATTTTGATTCTGTATAAATACCAGCTGTGATGTCACGGTGTAGCGGGAAAAAACCCACCTTGAATAAATTCTTGTAAATTCGTTGATATTAGCATAAGCGTCGGTCTTCACCGTAGCTTCGAAGTTATCCGGAGTGACCACGTGTTTGAGAGGTTAATGGTAACCCAGCGAAACCTCCGGTAGCGAAAATATCTCGCTCTGTAATTTTATGCTGGGTAGGTTATTTTCCTGGTTGTCGTGAAAATAATTTCAGTTTTGAATATAATTCCGACTTCCTTATATATAAGGGTATAAACAACTTGCAAGTTGTGAGCTTGTAGACTGTATACATGAATGTATCGTCATAATTGTAGAATTAACGTTGAACTTGTTGTACATATTTCTTCTCAGAAACTTTGGCGATTAAGAGTTATACTTCGCTGTAACAAGGCTGCTGTTCAATTTCGATATTGAATTGTCTGCAGATATGCGTAATGGTCACGCATGTAGATAATCGTATCGTCGTCGAGATTGTATATTAGCAATTTATACGGAATAGTTGATTTCTGTGAAGATCTATGAAATGTCGTTGACTAATAATACAGCGGCGTTCTGTGTTGTAAATAGCCTAAGCAATTATCTTCGGCGTAGGCTTATAGGCGGCATCTGGCATACAGTTGATAATCAACTTATGCGGCGTCTTGAACGGACTGGCCAGTAGCTATATGACGGCGAGTGGCTAGTATATGGAAACCTTGGAGGAGACTTCCTCGGTGAGCGCCGGAGACTTAGCGAAGTTCTCGAAGTATCCCTTCTAGATCTTCTGGGTGAAGTAGACTTGGAGCCACTTAGCCTTCGCGACCATCGCGAAGGTGTCGAGTCAAAGCCCGATTATATATATATATATATATATATAAATATATATATGGCGCTTGCCGTGAACAGCCTCTGTGTTTAACAGGATGTGGGATCGGGCGGCTTGCCTGCCTAAATAGGGCATGGATCATCTTATCATATTCAGAGAAGTATTGTTACGAAGTCTGGTGATAAGTGTCTAATTTGATCGTTCTAGATCTATTTAGGCCAGCGAACATCACGTCTGCGTCATGGATTCAACAGAACCATATACTCGATTGTAGTTCTTATACTTGATATCGATGATCAACTTGTCTATGGGTTGATCTTCCTCGGAGACTTGTGAGGAACGTTGATAGTTCGTGAAGCTCTTGTATAGTCCCCTTGATGTCCTTCTAGATGATGATGATCTGGATTCAGGTGTCCTTGGCGCATGCCTTCGCTGAAGCTTCCTCTGCGTCGGTCGAGAGGCAACGATATGACCTTCGAAGGCTCCGTGATGTCTGATGGTCCGAAGTCCACATCTAGGATGAAACGCGATAAGGTGATGATCTATCCTGCCTTCGCGAAGTCCTTCGTGCGAAGGCTGTACATCTAGGTTCTTTCCGCCTTGAAGGCTGTACATCTAGGTCCTTTCCGCCGAAGGCTCGCCGCGAAGGCTGTACATCTAGGTCCTTCGCCAAGGTGGTCCGTGACTTCCTTCGCGAAGGTGACATCGCCCTGGCTGCTACGTTGACGGGGTGCCTCTGGGGTGTTCACGCTTGGAGCCTTCTGGCGAAGCTTCGGACTCCTGCTACCGCAGAGATATTGGTCCTCCATGATGTTCATAATTTGTCGCATCATGTCTTCTGGGATGGTCTGCGACGAGGTCGTCGGTGCTTTATCTGCGGTGTTAATGGAGGGTCCACCGGAAAATCGTCCGACATCAGTGTAGAGGCATCAGGCTGCATGGTGATCTCTGCTGATGTCGTTGTAGCTGTCACGGTCGTTTCTTGTGGCGTCACGTCGGGGATGATGATCAGCTGATCATCGTAGAGGTCCAGGTCATCGGTTGGAACAATCTCGGTTGAGAAAGTCCTAGTAGACTTCGTTGGATTTTCCTCAGAGGTCGACGCTGCCCTGGGTGTGCGGCGTCTGGCGTTGAGTGTTGGTAATGATGGGACCCTCAGGACGATCATCGCATATCTGCGCTTGGTACATCAGGCTGCATGCTGATCTGTGCGACATCGGTCAATCTTTGATGTATTAACCGGTATGATGACCGGCTGATCATCATACAGGCCCAAAACTTCGATGGGAACGGTCTCCGGTTGTTGAGATGTAGTAGAAAACCCTCTAGTCTTCTGCTGCGACGATGGGATGTCTGGGGAAGCAGGATGCTTCTTGGAGATGGCGGACTACGCCCCACACCTCTCCACCACTCTAGCGGAACACCACACGGAGAAGTCGCCAACAGCAGTAGACTGGCGAGGGTTCCGTGTATCAGTCATACTAGACTCTGCATACGCGACCTATCTGCTGTCGCGTGCCAAACGCAGCAAATATTAATAAAAGGTAGAATTGGATAAATTAGTACCGCAACTGCAGTGTGAATATAATAAACATGGCGGCCGCACATCATATTAAAGGCGGATCAGCAGCAGCATAAAAACGTAATCTGCAATAGTACAGAATTTTCATCAACGTAATCCACTGAAACAAACACGCGTCCCGTGAATAAACTGTAGAAAAACGACTAAATATCAATATATATGTCGTTGAAGGATACTAGCTATAAACTCTATAGATGTCTATCACGAGGTAACTAACTAAATATAAATCAAAGGATATAGTGTGTCGGAGATACAGATGGCGCCTCACGTCCAGCTCACTGGGCTGAAGAAGGAGAGAGGAGGCATGGGTAGAAAGTGGCCCTCGCCCTCAGCGCTTGTGGAAAGGAGGTAACTCCTCGTGGTGAATACTAATTAGTGATTTTAAATTGAAGGGAGCTTCAATTAGGGAGATACAAGTGTTCCACTATGTTCGCAAGAAGAAGAAGACAAGCAAAAAGAGCATGAGTCAGGATAAGGAAAAATATAATACAGCAGTATTTTATTTATTCATTAAGATTTTATTTACCAGTACATCATGAAGCGAATAGTCACTTAACACTCAATCATCTCATTCACAACAACCCGGCTTGTTTGAAATCACAAAGAGCTTCATATACAGTAGAAGTTAATTTGTCAGATCGTCAGAATTCGGAACATAAGACTGATGTGTTTTTCATCTCTTCCGTGAGTAAACGGATTACTGTGTACTAGTATATCGCACAGATAGAGATTTCCGGTGATTAAGCAATAAACGCCACCTGACAGGTTAAGCCACTCTGTTTGTTTTCACTGCTGTTAGTGGCGGCCAAAGAGACAGCTGGCAGTTCCGGCAATTACTGATTGCGCGAATAATTGACCGCGCGATGTAGTCTAAACTGTCAATTCCTCGAAAATTGCACCACGCGAAAATAAGTACGTTTACAGTATTTGCCACTAATATGGCAATGTCCCCCGCCGGTAAAGAAGAATGAAATATTTATAACATATTCACTACTTTCTATTTTCTTGTCACATGCAAGAACTGACTGGTGTCTGCGTAATCACCCAATGTAGGCTGTCGACATACTTGAAGACATTGGGTGCAATGAGATATCACGTTTACATAAGTTTGAAAAGCTGTCAAAGTGTCGTGGTGATCTTGAAGATAAGATCAAGGTCACAAAAATTGACTGGTGTCTGTGTAATCCCCTAATGTAGGCTGTCACCAACTTTGAAGACATTGGGTACAACAGTTAATGAGATATCAAGTTAACAAGAGTTTGAAGAGTGGTCAAAGTGTTGTGGTGACTTTGAAAATAAGGTAAAGGTCACCAAAATCGACTGGTGTCTGCGTAAGCACGACAACTGCGTTAACAAGAATCGGGACGTACAGACGGATGCTGCTGAATACACAGTCCTCCGTTTTGCGGCGGGGACAACAACAAAGTAATATACATGTATAATGGATAACTCACTGATAGCGCAGTAATATATCATCAGTGTTCTGCCATGGCATATCAACATGTGAATAATGTTTACATCCAGTGCAGTCCTACCTTTTTCGAGCAAGGAAGCCTCTGGCTGCTGTTTGTATACAAATGACGTTTTCTGATAATCCAGGTACCATCTTCGGACACTGATACCCCGGTACCATCTCTGAATAGCCAGAGCAGCATCATACTCCAGACGGAGACTAGAAAGAGTTCTCTGAGCAAGCCATCGTCTTGTACATTTCTGAAAACAGTATCAAGTATTATCAGCTATGCATTGTTCTCAGGGAAACATTATGTACAGTACAAAAAATATTTCATTTTCATCAATGCATCTGTTCAGGTTACCATATTGTTACTTATCGGGCCTGATGAAACTATACAAAGTCTAACCTGAGGACATAAGTCAAAGGTTATCGCACCCATAAAGCACGTGTGTGGCTGCTTACACTTTCCCAGTGTAAGCCAACTGAGGCATCGCACAGCAGTTTAACATGGACACAGTACTCGGATGCAGTCTCCCAACTCAATTCATTCTGTTAATGCCAAGTACCAGCCAGGGTGACAAGTACCATTTCTTAACATTCTGAAGTATGATAAAGGCAGAAACTGCCCAACTAGTAGACACAAGACACAAGTGTTAAAGTAAACTGAAATGAGTCTACATCAGCTGCATGCATGGAATAACCTTACCTGTGCGAAGACCACTGCTGTTCGTAACCTGGTGTAGTTCTGTCTTTCCAAGATGGTCTTAGCCCACCGTTGGATCTTGATGACCCGCTCCATGATGGCACGATGAAGTGCTTCATCTAGCATCAGCTTCTCACTCTCACGTAAAAACACCTGCAGGATAATATTCAAGCATGTAGCATTCACAAACAGGCCAAGGCAAACAATTGGATGAGAGGTTGGAGTTACACACATTATCTGCATTCAATCAGCTCTACTGATAGCAACACAACACTGTAACAGTTCAAACACTATACACCCTGGCCACATCTCAACTATTTAATTTAAGAGGAGGATTAGGTTTGGGGTAATTCGAAGTTCCAGCAAATCAGACTCAAAGGCCACCTTGACGACTCAGTTATTATGATGTATACCAAACTACCAATCATAGCAAATCGTACCCAAATCATTCAAGGCCATTTTGACCGATAACACAAATTATTTATCTCTTCATGATGAAGGTCTCCATTAATACAAATATGAGGTACAATGCCGCCTCGACCTAGACTAGACAACACTGTGGAATGCCATCATACCTTTGTCTTGCCAATCTGGTAGTTGTCCCTGTTGAGATCCATGCTCTCCAGGAATATCTTCACATCCTCCTGTGAGCTGAGAAGTCCTTTAGGCAGCAGGATCTTGTACAGCTGGATGAACTCCTGCAGTTACAAGTTGTCACACTATGTCATGCCAGGTTATAACAACAACAGTATAAATGACAGTTTTGTCATGAACTGTAACACTACAGAATAGCTGCTTGCTGAAATCATCTGAAAAGTTACATACATAGTTTTTGTATCATAAAGAAGTTGCTATCCACAATATCCCTTGTTACAATTACATCCACCTTCTACTGTGTACAAGGACTCTCAGTTACAGCTTACATGTGCCAAAAGAATACTGATTTTGCATTACCTCAAACGTGAGCCTGTAGTTGTAGCCGGACTGCCGTATCTTCACAGTGGCCAACATGCCAGTGTACCGCAACTGTCTCAGTACTATCTCATCATCAAACACACATGGAGCCTGGGAGAATAATAGTACGTTACATAACCACACTGTCACATCAAAAGGTAGATTCTTAAAACCGACCATTCCAAACGGAATCCATACTCCGATGTATTTATTGTTTGTTGTTAATGCCACACTCAGTTCAAGCTGTATGACGGCATTCTGTAAGTAATCAATTCGGGAGCAGACAATCCAGTGATTGATATATGCAAAGATAAAAGGTACAATGGCACATGAACAACGTTACCAAGTCTGACCATCCAATCCACAATGTCATCCACAACAAGTTTCTGGGGATCTATTCTAACAAAGGATCACTAAATATCCACAAAAATTAAATATCTTGCATACCCAAATTAATATTTCCAAATACCTCAGCTGAATTTACAATCCAAAAACATTACAACTACATTTGATAGGGCAAACAAATAGGACAGTTGGAATGCTTACTTGGAATACAAGTTACTCATCAATACTGGAATCCATAAACGAACCAGCTTGAGCAATGTGTCTCTCGACAAAACACATTTCACATTTTTATTTCAAGACAAATTGAGTGTGATTATTAGAGCAGGATACTTCATTTATAGACAAAGCAGCTCAATGTTTTGACACTATCAGATCAGTGACTGAGTCTATCACTGTAGTTGGTATGTCAAATACTGGTATGCTGTTTACCTTATCAGCATTAGACTTGATACAGCGGATGAAGAAAGGGTTTGCCTTGTTCAGGGTGTGCATCAACCTGGACAGGGACCACTGAAAGGGAGGAGAAGATCATGCAGTTGGACAACAGTCTAATCTTCAGTCAGCCAGCTCAGCTTATCATTATCATTCACGTCCAGTTACTCCAATCTTAATGTATGCTTGGAGCAAAGTTCGTTCTTGTAGGCTCAGTACTTTTCTGAACATGCTGTTAAGGGATAAAATGAACTTTCAGTTCTTTACATGAAATATGAGCTACACTATGCAACAGTATTTCTCCACGATGTTTGTAGTAAGAAATCTCTGACCTGGAACTGAGCCCCGACCGTGGGCGGCTGTTTCTTGGAGCCTACACGGCTGCCACCAAAGGAAATCATTGTCCTGCTGGCTATGGCCTTCAGAGTCTTGATGTCTCGGAAACTCTGAAACACATCATGTTACCACCAGCTGAATGATAAGAATGGTACAATACCAGATTGACAACAAAACCTTGAAGACTCTAATACAAAAATCTTCATTTCAACTGAACTTACCAGAGAGGGTCTTGGTTTAGGTTTGAATGACCTGCTTTTCCTGAAATTAGGACAAGTCACCATCATACACAAATAAAATGCATATTCAAACGTCATTTGCAGACAGGTGGATTGACTGACAAGACTGTACCATAACAGGAAGCACAATTTCCACTTTTACTGCATCTATACATTTCTCAGAACATCTACTAAATGTATATTTAAGCTTCTACATGTGCATGAACATTTGGGAAATCAAAAGTAATTACTAATTACTAACAAAATCAAAACAAAAAGGTACGAGGCAGATTTAGAGATCCACTGATAGCACATATAACAAAACATAAATGTTAAGACTGTAAATGCTATTTGCTTGAAAACTGCCTTGAATGTAATCTACTCTTAGTTATATGTCATACAAAAGACCAACATACATAATGATTTTTGCAGCTTTACGGATGACACGAGTGTCTGCAGCGGACATATGGGACTCCAATATTTTCTCTTTGTGCATTAAGTCACCATGCTGCCTCATAAACACACTGTCATCGTCGCTAAAACACTCATCAACAGTGGTTGGGCATGCATTCGACGGGCTAGCATGCGGACTAGATTGTGAGCGTTGTTCATTCGGCTGATGACTAGATAAACAAAACAGCAAAATAAAAGAGTAAGCACAAAACATAATGGGCACAATCTGTACAGAAGCTAATAACAAAACTGGTTTCTGTTAAATAGTATGTCGAAATTCAGGCATGTTCAAGGAATTGGAGCCCTTGGTGTCCTGGTTTTGGGACATCTATATATGGCCAGTAAATACTTATGGCAAAAAGTACCGGTATGTTTTCAAAACTTTTAAAACTTTGGTTCAAATTGATTTTAACTGCAATCAGGTGAAACCAGTTTTCTTTGCCATGTTAACTCTTACTTCTCAACCCCTGGGTAATATAAGCATGAACTTGTGACTATGAGGGTTAAGTAAGGGTCAATATAGCTGCAGCAACTACAGTGTCAAAATGTCACAATACACAGGCACACACATGAGCACATTGAGAGGATATACTGGGGAGTCAAACTGTGGAATTCCAGGTTCGTTGTATCAGGGCAACATCTATTCTAGAAGCTATTTCTTCCTATTGGCTGGCTGACGCCTGTGCAATCCAGTCCTGATTTCCTCATTAATGACTACATGGACATTAGGGCTGCTACGGTTCACTCATGTATTCAGTTAATCTAAACATATCCCTTCATCAAGTCAACTTGTATCCATGATTACTAGAATCAATTAATTACGTATGAGTAAGGATAAGGAAAAATATATATCCATGAATCTTTTTCAAAAAGGAGTGTTTTTACTTGAATTTGTTAGTTATTTATGAAAACTAGATGTTAAAATGGAAAATATCCTAGTCAGGAAGGATAATAGCCCAAACTCTTATATATTTCATCTGACAATAAAGTGGCCAATGGCCATTGTCATGATAAAATAACATTGTCAGCATTGTCAAAACATGTCATATAATTATTTCATTACCATATTGTTATTGTTTCATGAATGCATTGAAAAATACATTAACTGCAGACTTGTTTTTGTATTCGTTACCCAATATTCACATTCATTACCCAATAATCCTGACAAGTATTTGCCTCATGGTATATTCAATCATTGCAGCACTAATGGAACGTAACTCTTCCTGTATTCTGTACCATTATACAATGACTTTCCCACAGCCCATGGTATGCTAATTAAATCACTCGTTAAATTTAAATGCACGTCAGAAGAGTTTGAGTTGACTGTTTCAGGGGATTATTGAATGGAGTCAGCAATATTCAGGATGTAACTGGGCTCAGATAGACCGACTGGTCAACTGTCTGACACACACTATCGGTCATCCCTGGTAGTCTTTGGTCACTATTACATCATCATTCTCAGCAAACATTTTGACACATCAGCAACATTCAAGTAGTAGTGACGTATCGACTGTATTTCCAGGACCTTATGACAACAAATAGTTGAATCAGGATGAGGAATCAATTTACATTTACAGCACTCTTCAAACACAGTCTTCCAAAGAGTTGCCATGCACCCAAGGGTAAATGTCTTAGCCGATAAGAAACCTAGTCATTTTGGAACTGTAATGGTCTTGGACATAAGTTAAATTCAAAACCTGTGAATGGTGCTAGATATGAAAGTGAAACTGTACTAATATTTGTGTAGTATGAAGTGTGTGTAGTTTTCAGGTCCAGCTTTGTTGTTGTTGAGAGTGAACACACATGCACACATGATCATCAGCTGTTTAGTATATTGTCGTCGGTGAATCTACATCACATGTGCTGCTGTCAGTGTCAAGTTGTGGTACCCATGCTACAAACAGCCATTAACTTTAACAGATGGTACAAATTTCTTCGGATCAAATTAAATTAAGAAAAGAGATACATCAATAATTTGTACAGAATGACTTCAAGGCTGACAGAAATTCCTGAAAGGTAAAATCCTACCATAAACCAAACAGACAATAAGTAACTAATGATTTTACGCCCACTTCAAAATATCATTCCAAACATTACAAAATAATATTATTGAGAGGACCATTAAAACTTTGTTGTTGAAGATATCAATCTCTTTTCAATGTCCAGATGATATCGTATAAACATTAAAATTAAGACTATTTTCATACACTCCTCATATCATTCATCATATTTTTTATTATATGTAATACTTACCCCAACAACACAGAATTGTTTACCATTATCATGCAGACAAATTAATGGAATCACACTTCTGACTTGTAGTAGTGAGAAAACTTCATGCAAACTCAACCCTAACTTTACTGAGATTTGATTGAAATGCCACACATTAGGCCTGAGTATCATGCGTGTAAGTAGTACACCTGCAGGAATTAGTTATCAACTGTCACACAGCTCTAGAACACACTGCAGACAGCAGGGCAGGAACTTGTCAGTGTTCAATCACAACAATACCAGCTGATGTCTACCCTCTAAACTAATTTCGAACATAATTGTTGGCAGTAACCCTCATTGAGTGGCAACTGAAGTTGGAACCTTTCAAGAAAAATGTACTGTACTATGTCCCTTTCCTTCATGGAGCAAAGATCTCTCTTCATCAACCCCCTCAACAGGAATATGTTTCACTTCCTGTGATAACTTGGTTCATTCCCCGTTCTATGACAACAGATCTCCCTAACACTTCCTTGACGAGAGATTTCTCCCCTTGTCATTACCAGAGTTCCCTTCCCTTGCAGTCACAAAAGGAATAGTCTCCCCTTTAAGTGATAAAATGTATTTCTCCAATGCTTTTTTACAACAAGGATCTTACCTTTCTCCAACAACAAAACCACCACCCTTTACTGTAGCAATACCAGATCCAACCCTCCCAATTTCTGAGAGAACATGAGATCCCCCTTCCCCGGATTGCCCCTGACAAGTTCCGCCATAAGTCAACCTGGCAGTGCATTCCTTCAAGCCTGGACTTACTGTATCTTATGCAGTACTCGCATTGTGTGAGCCACATGGTAAAATCTTTAAGCAAATAGAAAAAAAACACACTAGAAAGTCATAAATTACTCTTAGCTTATTTAGTTAGCTTATTCCATAACAACATTTTTTAAAGATATACACATAAAATATTACTTTTACGTTTTTATTTTTGAAAACACATATTAACAATATTATTTTTTATCACATTTTTCTTGTATGAAACTATTGTAAGAAAACAAACCTGTAACCAAAACACATCAATTTATGTTTAGCGAATAAAAACATGAGTTGCGAGACTGTTAACACTAATTTCACTGAGCATGACAAGGAGTAATTGATGAGGTCTAATCTACAAGATGTCAGCTAATCCTACCCCTCTTCCCCTTTTTTCTTAACAATGGATCCTTCCATCAGCTCATTCCGGGAGAGTCCACATAATCTAAGGGACGAGAGCATGAAATGGACATGTAAAAGTTGTCTACTGACAGAATAGTCTCATGCAAAGCTAGCGGAGGCTACACTACTGTAAGTAATATGTCTGATGTGTGGTGTATATCACAGACTCAGGAAGGAGGGAATCAGTGAGCCTACCGCAGGATAATCAATCACACTTCACACACCACTAGTTCCCAATCAGTAATGGACACACCACTAGTCCCCCATCAGTAATGGACACACCACTAGTTCCCCATGGACATACCACTAGTTCCCCATTAGTAATGGACACACCACTAGTTCCCCATCAGTAATGGACACACCACTAGTTCCCCATCAGTAATGGACACACCACTAGTTCCCCATCAGTAATGGACACACCACTAGTTCCCCATCAGTAATGGACATGGACACACCAGTTCCCCATCCCCATCAGTAATGGACACACCACTAGTTCCCCATGGACATACCCAGTTCAGTAATGGACACACCACTAGTTCCCCATCAGTAATGGACACACCACTAGTTCCCCATCATGGACACTACCACTAGTCCCCATCAGTAATGGACACACCACTAGTTCCCCATCAGTAATGGACACACCACTAGTTCCCACTAGTTCCCCATCAGTAATGGACACACCACTAGTTCCCCATCAGTAATGGACACACCACTAGTTCCCCATCAGTAATACCACTAGTCCCCATCAGTAATGGACACACCACTAGTTCCCCATCAGTAATGGACACACCACTAGTTCCCCATCGGTAATGGACACACCACTAGTTCCCCATGGACACACCACTAGTTCCCCATGGACATACCACTAGTTCCCCATTAGTAATGGACACACCACTAGTTCCCCATCAGTAATGGACACACCACTAGTTCCCCATGGACATGGACACACCACTAGTCCCCATCAGTAATGGACACACCACTAGTTCCCCATCAGTAATGGACACACCACTAGTTCCCCATCAGTAATGGACACACCACTAGTTCCCCATCAGTAATGGACACACCACTAGTCCCCCATCAGTAATGGACACACCACTAGTTCCCCATCAGTAATGGACACACCACTAGTTCCCCATGGACACACCACTAGTTCCCCATGGACATACCACTAGTTCCCCATTAGTAATGGACACACCACTAGTTCCCCATCAGTAATGGACACACCACTAGTTCCCCATCAGTAATGGACACACCATTAGTTCCCCATCAGTACTGGACACACCACTAGTTCCCCATCAGTAATGGACACACCACTAGTTCCCCATCAGTAATGGACACACCACTAGTTCCCCATCAGTAATGGACACACCACTAGTTTCCCATGGACACACCACTAGTTCCCCATGGACATACCACTAGTTCCCCATCAGTAATGGACACACCACTAGTTCCCCATGGACATACCACTAGTTCCCCATCAGTAATGGACACACCACTAGTTCCCCATCAGTAATGGACACACCACTAGTTCCCCATCAGTAATGGACACACCACTAGTTCCCCATGGACATACCACTAGTCCCCCATCAGTAATGGACACACCACTAGTTCCCCATCAGTAATGGACACACCACTAGTTCCCCATGGACATACCACTAGTTCCCCATCAGTAATGGACATACCACTAGTTCCCCATCAGTAATGGACACACCACTAGTTCCCCATCAGTAATGGACACACCACTAGTTCCCCATGGACACACCACTAGTTCCCCATCAGTAATGGACACACCACTAGTTCCCCATCAGTAATGGACACACCACTAGTCCCCCATCAGTAATGGACACACCACTAGTACCCCATCAGTAATGGACACACCACTAGTTCCCCATCAGTAATGGACACACCACTAGTTCCCCATCAGTAATGGACACACCACTAGTTCCCCATCAGTAATGGACACACCACTAGTTCCCCATCAGTAATGGACACACCACTAGTTCCCCATCAGTAATGGACACACCACTAGTTCCCCATCAGTAATGGACACACCACTAGTTCCCCATCAGTAATGGACACACCACTAGTTCCCCATCAGTAATGGACACACCACTAGTTCCCCATCAGTAATGGACATACCACTAGTTCCCCATCAGTAATGGACCACTACCATCAGTAATGGACACACCACTAGTTCCCCATCAGTAATGGACACACCACTAGTTCCCCATCAGTAATGGACACACCACTAGTTCCCCATCAGTAATGGACACACCACTAGTTCCCCCATCAGTAATGGACACACCACTAGTTCCCCATCAGTAATGGACACACCACTAGTTCCCCATGGACATACCACTAGTACCCCATCAGTAATGGACACACCACTAGTTCCCCATCAGTAATGGACACACCACTAGTTCCCCATCAGTAATGGACACACCACTAGTTCCCCATGGTAATGGACACCACTAGTTCCCCATCATCAGTAATGGACACACCACTAGTTCCCCATCAGTAATGGACACACCACTAGTTCCCCATGGACATACCACTAGTTCCCCATCAGTAATGGACACACCACTAGTTCCCCATCAGTAATGGACACACCACTAGTTCCCCATCAGTAATGGACACACCACTAGTTCCCCATCAGTACTGGACACACCACTAGTTCCCCATCAGTAATGGACACACCACTAGTTCCCCATCAGTAATGGACACACCACTAGTCCCCATCAGTAATGGACACACCACTAGTTCCCCATCAGTAATGGACACACCACTAGTTCCCATCAGTAATGGACACACCACTAGTTCCCCATCAGTAATGGACACACCACTAGTTCCCCATCAGTAATGGACACACCACTAGTCCCCATCAGTAATGGACACACCACTAGTTCCCCATCAGTAATGGACACACCACTAGTTCCCCATGGACATACCACTAGTTCCCCATCAGTACTGGACACACCACTAGTTCCCCACCAGTAATGGACACACCACTAGTCCCCCATCAGTAATGGACACACCACTAGTTCCCCATGGACATACCACTAGTTCCCCATCAGTAATGGACACACCACTAGTTCCCCATGGACATACCACTAGTTCCCCATCAGTAATGGACACACCACTAGTTCCCCATCAGTAATGGACACACCACTAGTTCCCCATGGACATACCACTAGTTCCCCATGGACACACCACTAGTTCCCCATCAGTAATGGACACACCACTAGTTCCCCATCAGTAAGGGACACACAATGCTGAAATTCAATTGTTGTACATGTTCTGCAAGCATGGGTAAACATTTCTCGAAAACATTCATATGAAATCTAGTCAACTGCTGCTTGGAACTAAATAGAGGTCATTTCTGCACAGTATGTATTTGAGTCATGCTATTATTCTCGATTGTAGAAATTAACCTCAAGAAGAAATAGCGAATCATAAACAAATTCAAGTTCCAAAATATAGTACATCATTTTCTCATTTACAGTTCTGTTTGCATAGGAACTAATAAACTCTGCAGAATACCCATGGATATTTCAGATATATATTCCTGTGTTAAATATGAGAGAAACAACTAGAGACTACATGAAAACAAAAGAGAGAGTTGTCTGGTGCCCTGGGTTTGCATGTCAATACATAAGGGCTATTGGATGTGAGATGACTATAATGTGAAGTGCCTGATATTACACAATGCATCAATACCCTTGTACAGACTACAACCTTACCTTAACAAGTTCTCACCAATACTGGTTTCAAGTTGAGAATCAGATAATCTCTTCTTTAATTTCTTCCGTTCAGGTCCTGAGAATAAAAAAAATATTTTCAATCCAAGAAAACAAAAATGTGCTCCTTCCTGTATGGAATTATATGCCTAATGCTGCTATGATCAGGCCCCATTCCACGACATGATCATAGCACTAGGGTCAACTTAAATCCCATACTTTAACATAGACTTAAGACTGACAGCACTGCCATCACTTTTGGGCAGCTGGCTTTACTTTATCATAGCTTCACGAATGGCATAGGGCCAAAAATGCTTTGTGGATAGAGTAACTGACTGGCAATTTTATGTTCTAAAATTGTTGCATAATGCAGCCATATTCCAGCTATCTGATGATGTCTGTAAATAATCACGCATCTATCTACACAATTGGGATGGGATGACAAAGCATGAAGTCAGAGAACCTGACCTATCACTTCCTACAATAGGCATGGGTCACAGAAGATCATCCCTATCTCAGATCTTCACCTAATATTTTGAGTGAGTAACATCATGCATTATGGAGAGATGTATGTGTAAGTACCTGATCAATATCCAAGGAAACTCACCTCCATTCTTCCTGTACCTTTCTCCCGCACGGAAGAACGCATGATAGCATCGGAAGAAAGCTCTTACTATAGACCATCGCAACACAGCCACTGGGTCAATACCTGAGGTAGAAACAAACAGATGTAGATATAGCTTAAGATAGCTTTAGATATCATTCAGTCTGACTACATACCTCTTCTCTACCTGTACATATATTACATGAATCTCTGTTCCGTACAATCTCAGATCAGTTTGTTTGTCCCTTATAATATTCAACCAATATCAAGGTGCCCAATAGAACAAATCTGGACCAGAAAAGCCAGTAGTTGATATTAAGACCAACAAATCAGTGTTCACACACTCAACCAATTTACAAAGTCCACCAGGGACATTTTACTTGACCTTTATGGAAAACACAAGTTACTGGGAAACACTTCGAATACTGAATCTCCCAGTAATCTCCAATGAAATTCCCTTTTGTTCAAATTACTAACCTACAAGTTCCCGGACAAAAGACTGACTGCTCTTCTTCAGAACACCAACTATATCTGTTCTGATTAGATCAGCATTCTTCTCTCGGAAATCCTGCAAATACATTCATTGGAGAACTCAGGGAACACATGCAGGAAGAAATCTATCAATACACATGATCAATAAAATTTCAGAAAATCTTCAAAACAAATTCACATTCAATAAAATATCTGTCAGTGTTAATTTCACATATGAAATACACATGATCAATAAAATTTCATATAATCTTCAAAACAAATTTACATTCAATAAAATATCTGTCAATGTTAATTTCACATATGAAATACACATGATCAATAAAATTTCAGAAAATCTTCAAACAAATTCACATTCAATAAAATATCTGTCAGTTTTAATTTCACATATGAAATACACATGATCAATAAAATTTCAGATAATCTTCAAAACAAATTCACATTCAATAAAATATCTGTCAATGTTAATTTCACATATGAAACAATAAAATATCAGATAATCTTCAAAACAAATTCACATTCATAAAATATCTGTCAATGTTAATTTCACATATGAAAATTAAAATACAACAAGTGTTTGCCACTGATATGGCAATGTCCCCCGCCACTAAAGAATGGAATATCTATATTTACTACTTTTTATTTTTTGGTCACATACAAGATGCCTGAAATGACTGGTGTCTGCATAATCACCCATCGTAGGCTGTCACCAAATTTGAAGACATTGGGTTGAAGAGTCCATGAGATATCCATTTAAATAAGTTTGAAAAGTGGTCAAAGTGTCGTGGTGACCTTGAAGATAAGGACATGGTCACACAAATCGACTGGTGTCTGGGTAATCCCCCAATGTAGGCTGTCACCAAATTTGAAGACATTGGGTACAACAGTTTATGAGACATCGCGTTAACAAGAATCAGGACGTCAAACGCCGCTGAATACATAGTCAATTAAACCTTTCTGGAATTGAACTTCATTTTGGGTTCATGGAAATTTTTGTTCCTTTAAGAGTTGAAAACACAACATAGTACTGAAGGTACATTTAAAAGCAGCTCTCATCACTGACCTTGATACTGTATTTGACCTTTCCAGCATAGTGTACAATGACAAAGGCCCTCTCCTTGAGTTGTGGGACTTGGTAGTAGGGGTTGTTGGTGTGTTGGTGGCTGAACTTAGACAGCATCGTGTCGTTGGTTGCACCAGGAAAACTGGCAAGGAAGACATCAGTTAGACAATTCTTTCTCTTGGATGTGGTCACACCACACCTCTTCAATGAAAACCTTAAGTCTGCTAAAAAGCAGTCCAGGAAATATAGTGTCCAAACATAGCATCTAAAAAAATGTGTGACCTACAGTGTGGCCAAGTGCTAATGTGTGAAATCATATTCTAAGTTTACTTCCTGAAATGTGACTTTGGTCATTTATTGGTTGTTTAACTCAGCAGGCTATGGTCACATGACAGCAGCCTGTGAATATCAAGTCTGGACCGGACCATCCAGTGACTGACATCATAAACATGGATCTACACACGATTCATCAGTCAGGTTGCCTGACTGACATCCAAGTGGCTAGAGCTTACATATTTGTCAAAATTTTAATAAGCAAATGTATTGAGTGATTTTGGACCTAAACTTACTTGCACTCTTCATCCATGAGACAGAAGAGACCTTTAGGCCTTTTGCTGAACAGCTCTAGACAGGCTGTGTTGTCGATGAACTCGATGTTCTTCCACTGGATGCCTTCACGCTGATACTCCTCCTGGGAAACAAGAAAGGAAACTATCACAGCAAGGGCGATGTTACTTGGTCTACGTGGTATATTTGTAACACAAATCCCTATCAAATGTGTATCAGCATCGACTAGTAATAGTAATGTATTTGTGGCATTCTAACCCATCATAATTTCACCACCTTCACCAAGATTCCATTAGTTTGATCACTGCCTTGAATAACTGGCAGGAAGCCAGGAAAACCCGTGATTTGTTACACATGTAGAGAAATGGGGTGTTTAGATTAAAAACCTTGTTTTAACAAGCTTACATTCAGACGTACTAATGCTTATACCTACCTGTTAAGCTACCTACCGAAACACCTGTGGAACACAAAACAACCCCACCTGTGCAATTACCTCCCCTTCCCTGTCACCAATCTTTTTGGGGCCTAAGGCCAGAAAGCTGTAGAAGAGCAACAAAATGGCCAAAGTCCAGAGGGGTGGATGGGTGGAACTAAACTGTATGTCTGAATGGAAGCTTGTTAAAACAAGTTTTTTAATCTTTAAAAAAAAAAATGTTTTAGCTTACATTCAGCCGTACTAATGCTTTATCCATAAGCAGGCAGTGGGGACAAGGCCCAACCAGAATAATTACCTATGTGAAGCCGACACATCCCTGGTGACACGTAGTATTGACAGACTTCACAAAGGGGGTTGTGTTTACCCAAAGTCATAAAGAAAGAACATTGTTGTGACACGAACAGCTGATGAGATAAGCATTGCAGCCTTAGCCGAGTAACCCTTCTTGATCAACGAAGCTTTGAGCAATCCCACCCATGAAGTTGTGTAACCCCACGTGCAGGTCGATGCTGTGTTGATGCAAAAGAAGATCCTCCCGAAATGGGAGAGCAAATGGAGGTTGGTTTCGACGCGTAGCAATTCCTGGAACCACGTCCTGGCCAGCCAATAAGGCTCAACCAAAAGCAGACGGAGTCGATTGGTCTGTCGAATCTTATCCAAGATCAAAGGTAACAGAACAGTTGGTAGAAGCGTCGAGATCTTCCCACGATATCACTAGGGCATCGTGGTCCCAAGCCAGCTAATCTGGGACAGGATACACAAAGCGCGGAAGATGATTGTTGTGCCATGTCGCAAACAGATCCACCTGTGGAGTCCAGAAATACTCCGTCAGAAGGCAAAAGGTGACTGGATTGAGCATCCACTCCATGGGAGATGGATGAGAGAGTCAACCATGTTTTGGCCCTGGGAATGTGATGGGCCTGGACCTCCATCGACGAGGGCAAAGAATTCGAACGTGAGGTCGAGGAAAGCAGATGAGTGGATCCATCCCCATCGGTTGATGTAGTGGACAACCGTTGCGTTGTCCGACTGTATCATCAACCAACTGCCGAGGAGGCAATGTTCCCAATGTCGAATGGCCCAAATGACTGCATTGACTCCAAGACAATTGATGTGACGAACCTGTTCGTCTGGTAACCACTGCCTTGAGTCATAAAGACACCTTTGCAAAAGTTTCACGGCAAGAGCCACCACTTCAGATGACGACGTAGGTGGATTAGCAAGTGAACCTAACGATCAGGAATGTGGGTAAAGAAATCTCTGCAGTGGAAGGAGTTGGAGACGACCGCTAGAAGTTAGATCCTGTGCTGACGTCAACTGCCCAAAAATCTCCTGCCAACAGTGCACCGTTGCTGGCGCATGCAGGAGGGCGGCAATGCAGGTGACAATCTTTTCCTATCGATCTTGAGAATTCACAACCAGATTAAGTGCCGTCTTGAATCAAATGCCCACATATATCAGATCCTGAGTAGGGGATAACTCAGACATCTGGAGGTTGACGATCCACCCTAGATGAGCTAGAAGATCGAGAGTGGTAGTCATTTCCGGATGTAAGTCCAACAAAATTTGATTCCCTAGCAGACAGTCATCTAGGTAGAAAATCCACGACAGGTTTCATGATCCGGGTGAAAATGTACAGGGCCGTGGAAATTCCAAATGGCAGGGCCACCCATTGGTAATGAATGCCTTGGTAGATGAAGCGGAGATATTTCTGGAACCTTGGAATGAATCGGGACATGCAGACAGGCGTCTTGCAGGTCTATCAATATGAGAATATCGTTTGGCAAAGTCACGGAGTGAACTGTTTCATATTGAAGATGAGTCGCATTTCTACGAGTTCTTCGGGACGAGGAAGATAGGGGAGTAAAAGCCGGGTGACGTCACTGAGGGTCTCAGGCGGAGCATGGCCGCCATCTCTACCAACGTGTTGATGGCCTCCATCAGCTGGGCCATTGGTGGAGTCAATAACAAGGGGAACGATGTTAATGGCGGAATATTGTCTAGGCGAGGGGCATAGCCCCTAGTCAAAAGGCATTGAACATATTGTTCGTTTGAAACGTCCCACCTCTGGGAAAAGAACCGAAGCCTCCCCCCAACCAGTAATGTTTCCGATGTTTCCCATGAGGCATGGAAAAGGACACCCTTCTTCTGTCCCCAACAGATCGTCAGACACGACTTGTCGATCGATTGGCTTGAAAAACGTTCTGAACATGACGATGTCGGTATCGTTGTTCGGGAATGTTGTGCACCGGTTGACGACGTACAGGTTTCTGGGTAGACGAGATAATCATTTGTTTCTCGCTCCCCAGCGTGTACTTGTCCAAAACTGAAGGAATGGCTCCATTGAATAATTGAGATGAAGTCTTTCCCGTGAAAGTGGCCTAGTGTGCCGTTCCGTGAGCTTTGACATCGTGAGAAATCCTTGTCATCGAAGTTGAGTGACCTGCCGTGAGATATAACGAGAATGTCCTAGCACGTTGTTGATGATCTCGAGATGAAGCACGCTTCTTCTTATAATGCCGATCAGCCTCCCGCTTAGCAATAGCTCTCAAATATGCATTGAAATCCTCCTTGGACAATTTATCATACAGGATGCATTTCAGGTCAACTGAACATGGAGCATAGCCATCCTTCGCAAGGCAGGACGGACAACTACTCTGGGGTCGGCCTTAGAAAGTTTCCGTTGACATTTTAAAGCCATGCTTAATTCCAAAAACATGTGTTCACAAGATATTGTGCAAAAAGTGTCTCCATCTTCTTGCGAATGAAAGTGGAACACTTGAATCCCCTTTTGAAGCTCCCTTCAAAAAAGCGAATGTAAAATCACTCACCCAGTGTTACCTCCCTGAGGCATTTTGGCGGCAAAATCTGTCACATGATCAAACACACTCTCCACTCTCTCTGAATATGAGCCCGACACCCGGATTTACAGGGAAATCCAGAGTGCCATGAGGGGAGGTTGGGAGGGCTGACTTCAAGAGTCAGGATAATATAAAATATCAATTTTAATAAAAAAAATACATATTTTTCCTTATCCTGACTCATGCTTAATTGCTTGTAGAATCCAACTGAACCTGTGGGGGGTCAAGACACTCTGGATTCATAACTTGCTGATTTACGTCCTGCATACCCCCCTGAGGGAACTTCTTATGGCACTGTGCTGATCCTTTCTTCCAGCTTACTCTGATGAGTCTGGGGGAACCACAACTTGTCAGATTTCTCTGGAACCGTCTTCTCCTGACATTATGTGTGGATTTATACGACTCCATGTCTTGATGCTCGCATAAAGTGGAGAAGCGACCCTTCTTCATGTACGAGTAAGTCCTTTACAAGTACAGGGTCTGTCACTCATGCTAGCCTGTCCTAGACGTGCGCATGGACTCTTAAGCTCTAGCTCTCCAGAGAGTTGGCTTTTACAAGTCACATGATAATAGGGTGAGATTCATCTCAGCGCCTTTGAGGAACCGTCAATTGTTGTGCTACAACAAGAGGCCCAAACTGGTGAATGCCGGAGACGTCCTCGGTAGCAATGTCTCTGAAGTAGTGGTTGGCAAACACCGTCTCTGACTTCCAAAAGCAGCCCTCCATTATTGTCGAGATGGAGCAGTTTCCATGCAGAGCGAGTGTCGATGCCAGCACTCTGACTTTATGAGGGTTGAAGGCTCGTGGAGGCTCAAGTCCTGCTGTTTTGTAGGCTCTTAGGATGACGGCTCTCATCCATATCGATATCGTAATACGTGAGGCCTTTGTAGGCGTCTCCGTAGTTAGAGGGATGAAAAGGCGCTTGAATTTTCGTCTTCTCATCTTAGACCTTTGTAGGTAGACTTTCAATGCTCTGACTGGGCAAAAGGATAGGTCCTGAGTATCCTGTGGCCCAAGGACTGTCGAGAGTGCTGGGATGTGGAACTGTCTGTCTGGTTGACCCGGCAGTTGGTTCTTTGGTATGAAGTCCCATCTCAATCCCAGATGTACGATGTTGCGATGTGCATCAAATCGTGATCGTCCAGAGCATGTATTTCCGACATCCGAGGGGCTGCTGCCAAGGCGACCAGGAACAGTGTTTTGTGTGTTAAAAACTCATAGGATGTCCTTTCGAGTGGTCCGCTTGGAGAGCGGAAGGTCGAGGGTTCGATCCCCGACCGCGTCATACCAAAAGACGTTAACATATGGTACTTGTTGGTCCCTGTCTGGCGCTCGGCATTAATGGGTACAACAAGGACTGGTTGGCTCGGAGTCAGTATAATGTGTCTGAGTGGGGTATTCATGCTTCACTGCGGCATGGTATCTCAGTGGGCTAGCACTATAAAACCAGCTTAAGTCTGGGCTAGTACAAGCAGCCACACATACACATACACACGCATGCACGTCGTCATATGAGCGAAATATTCTCAAGCACGACGTTAAACCCAATTTCACCTCACCTCACCTCACCTTTCGGTGGTTCAGTAAGGGTCACTGGTGAGATGCTGCAAGACTACGTTGAGATCACAAGCAGGTGCTTTAAATTTCTTTTGTTGGTCTTCCGGATAGGTCCTGAGTATCCTGTGGCCCAAGGACTGTCGAGAGTGCTGGGATGTGGAACTGTCTGTCTGGTTGACCCGGCAGTTGGTTCTTTGGTATGAAGTCCCATCTCAATCCCAGATGTACGATGTTGCGATGTGCATCAAATCGTGATCGTCCAGAGCATGTATTTCCGACATCCGAGCTGCTGCTGCCAAGGCGACCAGGAACAGTGTTTTGTGTGTTAAAAACTCATAGGATGTCCTTTCGAGTGGTCCGCCCGGAGAGCGGAAGGTCGCGGGTTCGATCCCCGACCGCGTCATACCAAAAGACGTTAACATATGGTACTTGTTGGTCCCTGTCTGGCGCTCGGCATTAATGGGTACAACAAGGACTGGTTGGCTCGGAGTCAGTATAATGTGTCTGAGTGGGGTATTCATGCTTCACTGCGGCATGGTATCTCAGTGGGCTAGCACTATAAAACCAGCTTAAGTCTGGGCTAGTACAAGCAGCCACACATACACATACACACGCATGCACGTCGTCATATGAGCGAAATATTCTCAAGCACGACGTTAAACCCAATTTCACCTCACCTCACCTCACCTTTCGAGTGGTTCGTAAGGGTCACTGGTGAGATGCTGCAAGACTACGTTGAGATCACAAGCAGGTGCTTTAAATTTCTTTTGTTGGTCTTCCAACTTAAAGGAGCGTAGTAGAGCCAGTATCTCTGGTACTTTAGTCAGCTTAACACCAGTCTTCATGGTGATAACCGTGCTGAGGGTCGCTAGGTATGTAGAGAGTGTTGAACCTTTTCACCGCCTCGTTTGTCTTAGATGACAAAGGTATTCTGCCGCTTGAGGATGTTTTGCTTTCATCGCCATGAAGCCCTTCCTCAATGCATATTTCTCAAAACTCTGCCACTTGTCGTCGTACAAGATGCGGGTTGATCTACGTAGAGCTAGTGTGACTGCTTTCGCTGCTCTGGCGGAATATCCTCTTTTCTTCAAGCAAGTCTCGATACGTTCCATGCGTGTAGCTGTATGATGCATCTGAAGGCTTCTGGATGTAACATCCATTCCTTCGGGGATGGTTGTGTTGGACGAGATAGGCATCTGCTATCACATTCTTGGCTCCAGGAATGTGGCATGTTTTTATGTCAATGTTCAGGTTGTTTATTATGCTGAACAGATGAAAGCTGAGATCTAGAAGATTCCTTGATCTTGTTGATCCTTATTTGTTGATGTAGAACGCCACTGTGGAGTTGTCTGTGTGGATCATCAGTTGTGCGTTCCTAAGTATGCTGGACCAGTGTAGTAAGGCGTTTATTACGGCTTTCATCTCGAGCATGTTGATGTGCAGACTCTGCTCCTGACCTGACCATTTCCCTGCTGCCACTTCATTGTTGAGGTGAGCTCCCCATCCTTGAAGTGATGCATCTACGTAGAGATGAGTGTTGCACTCCAGCTCTGATAAGTAGGTCCTCCGCAAACATTCAACTTCCGAGTCCACCATAGAAAATATGGTTTCAGTCCGTCCCGTAGTCCAAAGGAGTCCAGACTGTCTAGATGAGTGTTCAAGAACACTTGTAGTGGGCGCAGCAGTTGTAGTCTTCTTCTGCGTGTCATGTCTTGTGCTGACTGACTGACTGAGTTTAGTTTTTGCCGCTTTTAGCAATATTCCAGCAATATCACGGCGGGGGACACCAGAAATGGGCTTAACACATTGTGCCCATGTGGGGAATCGAACCCGGGTCTTCGGCGTGACGAGCCAACGCTTTAACCACTGGGCTACCCCACCGCCCCGACGTGAGAAGAACTTCGTAGTGGTAACGGGGAGAGTAGTGCTTGAGATATCATTTGTTGTATCTTGATCCAATGCTCCTCTGGGACGACTATGCAATTCGCCGATGCGATGAGCCGTTTTCCTAGGAATTGAAGATCCTGTGTGGGTTCTAGTTCCGACTTGAGGAGATTTACTAGCCATCCTATTTGAGTGAGTAGCCTGATGGTTGATGAGCTTGAATCCCGTCGTCCAGGTAAAACGCACTGCGTAGACCTCGATGATGTAGATATGTGATGATGGGCTTTGTCACTCGAGTAAACAACCAGGGGGGCCAACGATATTCCAAATGATAGCACCTTCCATTGGAAATTACGTCCGTTGAAGAAGAAACGTAGGTATCTCCTTGAGTCTGGATGTATCGGGATGTGAAGATATGGATCCTGTAGATCTATGCTGGCGAGGTAGTCTAACGGACGAACGAGTTGTCGCAGTTGAGGAAGGTGTATCATCCTGAACTTTGCGTGTCTGCGTAGTTAATCTTGGTTGAATTTCCTCATGTTGCAGATGAATTTTTCTTTGGTACAGAAGGATTGGGGAGTAAAAACCGGGCGTGACAAGCTCCTGTTTTATCTCTTCGAGTGCCTCCTTCTCGAGTAGAGTTGTGATGGCATCGAGTAGCTTCTCCATCTAGCAGCATAGTTGTGAGCCAGAGGGTTGCTTGTCAATGGTGGTACTGCTTGTATCCTCTGCGTAGGATCTGGGATACGTAGTCGTCCTGAAGAATTCCCCAATTCTCCCAGTAGTGTTGCAGACGTCCACCCACTGTTGAAGGTTGTATGGGAACGGCTGGGGGTGGAAGACTTCAGTTGTTCCGAACCCATCCATCAGCGTCTAGAGTTCCTGGCACCTCTGGGTGCTCTGCCTCTTCCAGGGTTACCTCTTGGAGCTCCAGTTGGGCGACGAAAAGAATCCTTGCCTCCTTTGGAGTTGCCGTATTTCTTTTCCCTGGCTCTCTGTATCCCCGCAAACTTCGACTTGCCGGAGTAGTGTTGCGACGTCTGACGGATAACACTGGCCAGTGTATCGATGGACTTGATCATTATTACCTCCCTTGACTCTTTTCGTAACTTCTTTGGCCACGTCCTTGCATGAAGATACCCGGTCTGACATTCTGCGACGACGGCTGCTGCTGCTGCAAAGATGACGACGCATCTGAGAGTGCTGAGGCTTCTTCCAAGGACCACTGTGCTTGTGAAGTACTGCCATCTCTCGTATCTGATGTCTGCGTTGATAGAACATCTGACTGCGCTGAGATGACTGCTGACGTCACTGTAGAAGAAGATCTCGTCTTCTTCTTAACTGCTACTTCAGGAATGAGGATGGGTGGCTCGTCATACATCTACTTCGTCTGAAGGGATGATCTCTGCAGCGAAGGACCTCGTCTTCTGCGCTGCCCCATGGGAAGACTTCGCTGGAGTCTTATCTGCCGACAACTTCTTTTTCTGAGAAGACGATGACCTGGGTCTTCTTAGACTGCGACGAGGCTACTACCTGATGTTGACGACCTCTTCCTGGAGCCGGAGCTTCCATCTGCCACAGCAAAATGCTCCGTAGTAGCAACCGGTAAATCACTGGAATGGTGAATCTCAGCAGACAGCAATAAACGGTTATCAGCGCATTCACTCAGTTTAGACATGACTTGTAAAAGCCGTCTAGACCTGTCCTTGGCACGTCTAAGAATGGAATATAAATAATTATTAAATTCAATTTCAGATAAATGCTGACAAAGTTGACAGCGAAAGCTGGAAGAACATGTAGAAGTGCAATTAGGACAATAAATGCGGATCAGCAATCGACAACCGGTACCTGCAACGCATGCAAGTTTTCATCAATTGTAAGCAAGATGAAATATCATGTCAACAATGTGAATAAACAGATAATTTAGACAAAACTTTCAAATCATATTGCTGGTATATCTTCCTAAATGCCGTATACAGCTAAATTTAGTGGTAAAGACCTAAATATAAAAGGATATAACGCCGTATAGGGACCCAGGGGCTCTCACAACCATCCTCTAGGGCGAAGAAGGAGAGAGTGAAGAGCGTGTTTGGTCATGTGACAGATTTGCCGCCAAAATGCCTAAGGGAGGTAACACTGGGTGAGTGATTTTACATCCTCTTGTTTGAAGGGAGCTTCAAAAGGGGATTCAAGTGTTCCACTATCATTCGCAAGAAGGAGACAAGCAATTAAGCATGAGTCAGGATAAGGAAAAATAGAGAGCTCTATTCCATACATCCTACAGGTACGAAACGCATGAAAGATTGGTGATAGGGAAGGGGAGGTCATTGCACAGGTCATGTCCACTCGACTCACAGTAGGTAGCTTAACCGGTAGGTATAAGCATTAGTACAGCTGAATGTAAGCTAAAACATAACCCTTCTTTCAAAACAAAACCATGTTTTCGATTATTTTACGTTAGTATCAGAGTAAATATCATACAGTGCAAAATCCTTACCTGTTCAAACTTGAAGATGTGTTGGTTAAAGTAGTACTGAAGGTGTTCATTGGCAAAGTTGATACAGAACTGCTCGAAACTGTTCTTGCCAAAATCTTCAAAGCCAAAGATGTCAAGGACGCCTATGGAGTTTCCCTATAACCAACCACAGCATATGAGGACCCTATTATTTTCATCACATTGCAGGAATACCTTAGAGGAATCCTAAACACTATGATGGTGGTGCTCATTGTTCAAAAAGGCAGAACAAAATTTCAAAATATCAAGCCTGGAAGATTTCAATCATTTATTTAAAGACACCGAACCAACAAGGAACCCACAATAAACAGATTCTGATGCAAGTAAGGGATGCAATTCAGCACAGCTTTAGACACCAACATTTTCCAAAGAGGCAAGAAACACAAACCAAGAAGATATGGTCGGCAAGCTCATTCACCGCAAATGAGCATGATTTAGTTTACATGCTAAAACATAAGACAGGTTATTGTTTATTTTTCTATAATTATGTAAAGATGTGTATTTAGAAAGGGGACAAATGTTAATAGTGGTAAGTTGTGTCACTTAGTCACACATTTCATCATGGTTCAAAGGTTGAAGGCAAAAAAATTATGCAGGTTGTTAAGTTAAAACATGCACCAAGCACTTTTTAAAAAATCATTCAAAATCCTTACACATTTCAGGAACACAACAGGTTACTTCTAAATAAAAACATGAAGTCACCATGAAATTAGACTTGGTCATGTCTGGTCCGAAAGCAAGATTCCAATTGTCATCAACATTCATTAATCATAATCATAATAACAATAATCTCCCAGTCTAAGTAAACTTAGACTCAGTATTATTCGTTACACTACCACACTGGGTCTAATAAACACGAGCAGAAGGTCACGTCAGCTAACCTTTGAGCGACCTATTACCATCCAATCAAACATGAGACGGCCAAACTGATTTAACCAATCAGACAACTGCTACCATTTATTCAGTTTGAGTTTCTGAGTGAAGTGTTTTTTAATGTTCTCTTCCCCGGTCGCTGACAATGATCTCTCAACAAACGAAAATATGCATAAAAAACTGATACTTGACTGCAGCACATACGCTTAGGGTTTCTGATGACATGGTTACTATTAGCTTATATTTTCGCAAGATAACATTCTGGAATATTGACAAAAACGCTATTTTCAGCGACTGCTTCCTCACTTTTGTGAATAATGGTGTATGGGTATCACTGTATGGGCTTTCTAATATTAATTTCTAGGCGATCATGTGCAAAATAGCATTCGGAATCGTTCAAGTACAAATATTTTCGAGGTGAAAGTTCAAACGGTATGTGCGAATATTAACTTTTGCGATTTGGTAAGCTGTGTTCTGATTGGTCAATTCAAAAGGCTAGCTGAGGCAACCTTCTACTAGGGTTGGTTAGACTCAGTATGGCAGCGTAATGAATAATACTGAGCCTAAGTTTACTTACACTGAATAATCTCCATTATAAGAATGCTGCTTCTATAACTTCCTTGCCACATACACTTCCTGTGTCTATTTAATGCTTGTATCACCAATAAATAACAAGTAGCTGTCAATCAGTGAAGCAACCCCATGAAGCAGCTGAAATGAAGAACAAACCAATTCCACATGCATGGAACAGTTGGAGTGCTTACATGTTAATGTGAATCAACATGACTCATGGCTCACTTAAAATAATGTACAAAGCCTGTGACAAACACATGAATTTGGCTCTTAGCACAAGTTTCAATCAAATTCAGTCTAATGATATGAACTATTATAAGCTGTATATATTTTACATTTCTTAACCCCTCAAAAATGAAACAAAACAAACAATTTAGCCAATAAGAATTTTGATACGGCTAATTCTGTTACATACATGTAGGGTTTAAGTCAGTAGTACAAATGTCCCAAAGTAATCTATTCTGCTGAACAGTTCAAGAACTTTACTCAGTAATGCTGCAGTTTTTCCAAACCTGTTGATGAATACCCAGTATATCAAGTGACAGCCACAGTGTATCATTGATTTACATCAACTTCAGAATGCCAAGCTCTGAAGCTCTGACCACCTCACCGATGTCATGTACTTACCATGAAGAGATAAACAAAGCTACTTTAACTACAGACGATGACAAATCACAAACAACCATGACAACAGAAAAATGACATGAAGAAAACATCTCTATCCCCCGCCATAGCTATGATCATCATCTGTATCAACACTAGAATGACTACTGCAGATAGCAACATGAAAAGTGGGTCTGTTCTTTAATGCCACACTGAACAATATTCCAGTGGTAGGACCGCAGCATGTAAATACATGCCTGGTCCAGACAAACCAGTGACTGATACTGTCAGCAAGGACCCACACCATCAGCCAAGTCTCCAAGTCTGACAATCACATCCATTAAGTTCCCACCTATGACAGCATGGGTTGCTGGGTACCAGTTCAAACACAGAATCTGTCCATTCTTGTCTATGTGTCCTACATGCCATTTTCGGACTTCAGTTCCACACTAGAAAGGATATTTGTTTCAAATTTTCAAAGCCATTTCAGCACAAATGATTATAGAATGTAATGATGATGTAATTCAAAGGCCTTGATTCTGAAGGGCAGATCATCAAATGTCAAAAACATATACATATCGGGACATATACAATGTATGATGAATGAATTCCTCAAGACAATGTAATTACGTCATGAATCAAGTTGCTAATCTTTTGATGAACGAATCAATGAGTGAAAAGTGACAAAGTAACAAAATCATAACAGATATAAAATTAAACGTGCCTCAGTCATTTTGCCTGCAAGGTCTCATGATAACAATGTCTTGTTCAGTCAAATTTAAGATCAAACAAAAAACCTTAGCATTGATCCTTTTTGTAATGTTCCACACATCATGACCTTTTTTGCAACATGATTCAGATGAGAAGACAAGACAACGAAGGGACAAAACCTGTCACATAGTCCATCATGTTGAGGCGGGGGATAAGAAGTAACACCACTAACATCAATACCCATGCTTATTCCTATAAAAACCAAACCAGGGAAACGGTAAAGAAGGAACAGTGAAGTATAAAACAATGAAACATAACAAAGGAGGAAGAACTAAGGACCACCGGCTTCATTAGTACGCAGGTGCTTGTTAGTGTGTGGCAAGGGGCAATGAGGGGGCTGTCCTACAAGAGAAGAGTTGCCACACCATATCACAGATTCATGGGTAAACAACTGATGATGTGCATGTGACCAATTAATACAATGGTTTGGCAAATAGGAGTGAGTTTTAACTCTGTCCTTGAACATTATTTCTGTGACATGTTCTTGTGTCAGTTTAATGAGGGAGAAAAGCCAAACTTCATAGACATCTTATCTTTCATGAAACATGGAAGCACAGAGATGGTGATGTCAAACCAGAATCGCAATTAGAGTGAATCTGGGACTTAACCCCATCATCCTCAGATTCTGGCACAAACAAGGGACGCAAAGTGAATTACAGTACCACAGACAACTGGCTATGTTCGACAAGAACTGAGCATGAACAGCCTAAGCAGAATATTGAAATGACTGTAATACAATTCATATAAAAAATAATGAAGCAAACTGTACACATTAATTGACATTCTATCTTTGCAAATGATATTTTCTCAATGTTTGCCGTGTGATCAAAGCAAATATTGACAAAGTGAAAAGGTGTGGATGTTTCAGCTGCAGCACTTATTATCTGTGATGACTTGTGAAAGCAAGCAATTCTGAAACGCAGGGGCAAAACATTTGTTTGGAATAACACTATTTTCTTGAGTCCATAGTTATTCCTATCCTTCAGTATGGGACCTAATAACTTGGACCGGTGTGTTGATATTATCATAACACAATGCTTCATCATATATAGGTAATCCTATAATCTAAGCTAGCAAACAAAATATTGACATATTATCACAAGTCAAACTGAAATGACAGATCATTGAAACAAAAATTGTCACAACAAAACTGATAAAAATAAACCAACAAAAATAAAATCTCTACTATACAATTTCCACATAATTATCTTGCTCCAAAACATAACACACAGTACAAAAATATACTCATAGAAACAAATAAGGGAACACATGAACTTACAAGTGTTCCTGTATTATATTTCCAGACTTCCACCCACAGTGCAATACATACCTTGTAAAGAAACCTGGAGAAGAATAAAGGAACACTTGTACTTTCATGTGTCCCCTTATTCATTTCCATGGGTATATGTTAATTATCACAAATAGTTTTGGAATATTATTTGTCGGGGAAATTTACATAAAAAATATTTATGATCCTAACATTTTTTTATACAAAAGCCCTGATAACATGTCCTCAGTTTTCAACCAGCATGATGCAGTCAGGCCTATCCTCCAACCCTCAGTCAACAACCCCAATGTTAGAAGGGAAGCAGGCAGTGTAGGCTAAGTGAACAGAGTTCCTGGCCAGTCTCATGATAGGAAAACAAATGAGAAGAACCACAGAAAAGAAATCCAAAACTGCATGCGGTAACAGGAGGATGGAGAGGAAACGAGGGAAACGGTTGCAGAATTCAGCTGCACAAAATCGTACCAAAGCCAAAGGATCACTTTCCAAATCAAGCTGACCCTGAAGAGGGCCATTAGACTCTTGGCTGGAATCAGACGTGTTTAATACCACCTCCTTCGGCACCTGAAACGCGGATACGGCACATGATATCAATCCATAATTGCACCTACTATTTTCTTCATTTACTGAGTTGGTTGATGTAAGTTAGAAAGTCGTGCTTAATGCTGATCTGAGCAATATTGCAGCAATATTACCAAGAGCCGACCAAAATGGGGTTCTGTTCCCATCTACAGAATCAAACTGGGTGTTGTGCTAGATGAGCAAACACTGGAACCACTGGGCTACCCTATATTCTGATATGAAGGTGCAGGTAGTCAAAGAGTAATTGGTAGAGTAAGATCAGGAAAAGAAGATGATGAAGAGAAAACTGAAATGTAAGTAGTATAAACTGTGTAAATGTAACATATCTTAAAACTAGATACACTCCAAAAAATTGCATGCATCAATTAAATCTTAAAAAGATACAGATCAGAAAAACTTGTGAGAAAATAATCAGAGATGAATTTCCTATGACGATTCTGATGGTGTTAATAGGAATAGGCAGGACCTTGCAGCTTTAAATGAAGCTTGCATGAAGCACTCACATTTGCAAGCATTAGTAAAATGTTCCAAACACAAAATAATTCTGATCATATATCTCAACCAAATAGTCATGAAAGAGATCTGTTTAAGATCAGTTATATTTAGAGGCCGTGACATCTTTTTCAACACCTGTGTTTTGGCATCATGATGACCCACTCACTGTCATCATCTAAGTAGGCATTGTTATGGAGCGTACCTGATGTTCACTGTTGTGTTTCTTGGCTAGCAAAGCCTGGTTCACTTTGAGGACAATCCAGTCAAACAGAGATCCATACAAACACTTTGCCATGGCATCTCGTGTAGCGATTGCCTGAAAGTGGAGAGAAATGCATACATACAAACCAGTGGAACGTGAAATATGGATCTTGGATGATAAATGTCGATTGGTGTTCTTGAATAAATATACACAGTAAGTTGATTCTGTATGAGGAACTAAAGATTTATTTCTACATTAAATCAAAGTAGACATAATGCTGAACCCATTTTCTGCAAAAAATATGCAGTTTATCACTGTCTATAAAGAGACCCTACATATAAGGTGACCCCCAACCCCTATGTAAACCTTTAAAATCGAAGCTAATTAATATTTCAAAATGAACTGCTGTCAAGCTGGATTTGACCAAAGGTGTCAATCCCTGTACTCCTGCCGTAGAATCCTGCTGCTAAGTAAGTACTGAGTGTGATGGTGCAGGCGTGTGGAGAGACAGTGATCTTACATCCTCCATCTTGTAGTTGATGACGACTGTTTCATCCCCTGCGACAGTCTTCTTGGTGGTGAGAGCTTCCAGCACAGTCTTCTCCTTAACCTAAAACAGGAGGACACTAGTCAACACAAGCACCTTACAAAGACAAAATGTTCAAAAGGGAGGCAACTCTGACATTACATAGCAAGCTCTCAGTAGGAATATTTTTTCACAAAGTCCTTGAAGATAAGCACCAATTTCTTTTTTTTATCCACAAAATGTACTGAGATCATTTTTCAGTAAATAGGAAGTGGCTTGAGGAAAATAAACATCATGAATTCTGAGCAATAAATATTATCATATACTGCAAGTAGCATTAAATGCTAAATAGGTTGACATCACAATTTGTGAGTATAAAGAGCACATGAAATACCTTGAATCAAATTTGTTAGTATTGAAAATTAGCCGAAGTTGAATTGAAATATCATTTCTTTAAAATAAAGGCAATCTTCCATTGGCAGACTGATCTAGATTCCCTAGTGGTAGGCAGGCACATTCAAAAGCCTGTAAATGATGATGTTTTGTATTTTGTCCTGTAACTATCCACCACATTACCTGTGCCTTGTCCAGCAACTTGTGTGTTAAACATACAAAAAACGACTATTTCAAACAGTAACAGATATGCAGCACATACCTTGAGTAGGTTGCAGATGATCTCCACAGTGGCTTCATTCTTCACAGACACAGACTCGTCATGGTGCTGATCCCCTTTCTACAACACAAACACATCAATACGATACAAGCACACAATACACTCATCATATCTTCATGTTTGGGCCAAAAGTAAATGGAAAGACATATCTGTTTTATCGTGTTTTGGGGGTTTCATGGGCCTTAACAGACCATTTATCATTTCAGCAGATAGTCTGAGCAAGGGAGGTAATTCACTTCCTGATAATATCAACCCTAACATAATACTCAATTCCCATTATTCCAACTCTTACAAACAGGCTTCTAATGAGAAATGTAATTAATTAGTTGAAGCCTTATCCAATATAGTTGAAAGGGAGTTAATAAGATTACGTATGCATTGAAAGAAAGAAAAAGAATTTAACATACAGTTTTCAAGTTATGTTGCTGTTATTTGTCATATATTATGACTGATGTATGTGTAAGGACCAAGGCCCCGTTCCACAAAGCTCTCGTAAGCCTAAGATCTCGTAAACCTCCTGTACTGTAACATAGGAGGTACGAATGCTACGAGAAAAGTTACGAGATCTTAGGCTTACGAGAGCTTTGTGAAACGGGGCCCTGGACAAGAAAATGCATATTCATTTTAAAATACTGCATGCAGTCTTATAAAATATTAAAGTCCAATCGCAATTCAGAAGTTTCTGCTTTAAGCCTTACTTCCCTAATAGCATGTATACACATTATATATTATGGCACATAAGTCACCAACAAATTCCACAAAGATCTGATTAGAAATGTCATTCAGTATCTGTCAAAAGCCTAACATTTTCCTTGTTGAATTATCAATGAATGCTGACAAGTTTTCAACCCTGTTCCTACTTTTCCTGACCGATACACTTGTATGGTGACATACAATCACCTACATACCTTTCTGAACTCTATATTGCCCAAGTGCAACACTGCTGACAGTACTGCAAATATCCTGTCAACAAAACAAGGAAATACATCGGAGGCAAATAAAGATATCTGGATCAATGAGTTCAAAACTTCCTTATATTTATTTGTGTGGTGTTTTATGGTGCACTCAGTACTACTCATATCTATTCCAGCTGAGAATGGATCACCAAACCAGTGATTGATATAAGAATACCCTATGGATCACCGAACCAGTGATTGATATAAGAATACCCTATGGATCACCGAACCAGTGATTGATATAAGAACACCCTATAGATCACCGAACCAGTGATTGATATAAGAATACCCTAAGGATCACCGAACCAGTGATTGATATAAGAACACCCTTTGGATCACCGAACCAGTGATTGATATAAGAATACCCTATGGATCACCGAACCAGTGATTGATATAAGAATACCCTAAGGATCACCGAACCAGTGATTGATATAAGAACACCCTATTGATCACCAAACCAGTGATTGATATAAGAATACCCTAAGGATCACCGAACCAGTGATTGATATAAGAACACCCTTTGGATCACCGAACCAGTGATTGATATAAGAATACCCTATGGATCACCAAACCAGTGATTGATATAAGAATACCCTAAGGATCACCGAACCAGTGATTGATATAAGAACACCCTATGGATCACCGAACCAGTGATTGATATAAGAACACCCTATGGATCACCGAACCAGTGATTGATATAAGAAGACCCTATTGATCACCAAACCAGTGATTGATATAAGAACACCCTATTGATCACCAAACCAGTGATTGATATAAGAATACCCTAAGGATCACCGAACCAGTGATTGATATAAGAACACCCTATGGATCACCAAACCAGTGATTGATATAAGAATACCCTATGGATCACCAAACCAGTGATTGATATAAGAATACCCTAAGGATCACCGAACCAGTGATTGATATAAGAACACCCTATGGATCACCGAACCAGTGATTGATATAAGAACACCCTATGGATCACCGAACCAGTGATTGATATAAGAACACCCTATGGATCACCAAACCAGTGATTGATATAAGAACACCCTATGCTGTCATGATACACACAAAGAGAGAGAACCAAATCAATATCTGACCACCCGATCGCATGAAGCCTGATACAAGAAGACTCCCATACAGAATTGTCTCCCTTTGAATATCTTGGTCAATGGTAGAGGCTGACTCCAACTTGGAGTATGTTTCAATGCAACAATGGGATTGTTTCTGACAAGGATTAGAGATCTATCACAGTGCTGAATCCTACATTGGATTCCATAAAGAAACTATACTTCTACACACTCAGCTAAATATACAGACTCTTTCTAATGGTAATTTACCCAAAGGTAGATAGCATTTTCATTGGAACTTTTCAATTCCTTTGGTTCTTGTGTTTTCACACATATACTCAAGGAGAACTGCCACAATTCATTGACCAACAGAATAGAGGCTGAAACACCTTTAGGAGCAAGAAAAGCTGTATGAATTCATATCTTTTCATATTTGGTCTCCCAAATTAAACTTTTAAAAAAGCGGTGCTTGCATTAAATTACATGATAAATTTGTATTTTGTCCATACATTTCAACACTTTAGAACAATACACCTCAAGTATTACACAGACCCTGCTTAGTTGCTCATAATGCCTATTTTACAGGTTATTGGATCACAAAGACATCTACCTGTCCATGACAGCTGGAACAAGACTGAAGCAGTACACTCACCACCCAGGGATGGAAATCAGCCAGGAAACTCTACTAGCCCAAACATACAGCAATACTCCTAAAAAAGGATCCATATCTTAGCCTTAAGGACACATTTAACATTAACAAAGCTGGTCAAGGCTACATGGCAAGTGCTAATTTCCATCCCTGACAAATCAACAACTATACTTTAGCTCATTCCCTTATATTCATATTGGCTATTTATGTGAAACTTCCTCATGGTCATATCACCAACCTCTTCTGCGTCTCATGTGAGAAGCCGACCATCTCCATGGATTGTTTAAGTCTGGCAAATTCATCGACCTCATCAACCCCTTCAACGCTGTAGCAGTCACTCTGAAATCAAAATCAGTTTTCTAAAATCTGAAAACACCTGATACACAAAAAAATCAAACCTGAAAACCTTAAGGGACCATATTGGTTTAATATTCAATATTTGAATTTCAAATTCCCCCAAGTGGCAGCTCTGGAACAGTGATGTGTCCATGACATGGAGTTGCATCAGATGAGAAGCCCACCACAACAGACTGGTGGTGGAGACTTGCTGGGAGAGTCAGACAGGATGGCGAGTACTGAAGTGCTTCACTTCATTGTCACTCACATGCAGGTGCATAACATACTATCAAGCAAAATGAAGGATCCTTACTTAATAAAACAGAAAGGATATTGTTTTATCAAAATCTTCAAGCAAATGCCTGTATTCCAATATTTATTTTGCCATCTGCTATGTGTGATACTATTATATTGTTTTATCGGGTACTCCTTTCATGATTAACTGATGCCTGTATTCCAGGCACGGGGTACTCCTTTCATCAAAGGCCATCTTCTATGTGTAAAAGCATACTATTATTAACTGATGCCTGTATTCCAGGCACGGGGTACTCCTTTCATCAAAGGCCATCTTCTATGTGTAAAAGCATACTATTATTAACTGATGCCTGTATTCCAGGCACGGGGTACTCCTTTCATCAAAGGCCATCTTCTATGTGTAAAAGCATACTATTATTAACTGATGCCTGTATTCCAGGCATGGGATACCTTGATAATCAATTATCAATGACAACTACCAGCCTACATCTATAATGGCAGGTCATCATAAAATAATGCCAAATATTTTCAACAAACCACTAGCGATCTTATTCTGTATTATCTAAAAACAAAGTTCCCTATTTGTCTTCATCACAGTAACGTACAAAATTCAAAGTCATATTATAAGGATCACATCAAAACGATGCCCAGTGTTGCCAGGTACCATTAGTTAACATCAGCAGCCATGGAACTGCCTCCATCATCGATGAGCCTACTGCCAGCCTCCATTAGAGGCCATAACAGCACCCCTGCAATAATCTTGCTTGGATCCTGAGTAGCCTGGTGTGACCCACTTGCCCAGCCAGCACTGCCCTACAACAGTCCCCTCCCACATCAGTTGAGATGAGGAGGACCTGCTTGATAACACAAGCAGTTGCCAGATTAGACATAAGTGACTGGACATAAATCACAACTGCCAGTATCTGGGACCTGGCACAGGGGAAAAGATGAAAAACAGCAGACATCCATCCTCATCACATAGTATCCTCTATGTTTTACATGATTATCCATATTAAACATTTTTATGAGATAAGATATATTTATTGCAAAAAAATATTCCATTACAGATCAGTGTCAATTTTGTAGACTGTTTTACTGGGTTCTACTTATAGTGGTTCGTTTGACTGCAACTAGTAAAATTATTGCTGATGGGTTTTCTCTCACATTCTCATGAATTTACACAAACCAGGATGAAATGAGCTATGGACAAGGTGGATATTTCCCATAGGGTATACAACCACTACATGTAATAAATATTTGTTAGTTCAAGGATGCACTGAATATGTCGTTACTTTCAATTCAAACAATCGAAGTGCCCATATAAGATCACAGTGCTCATAAGGTGTATGCTTGGACTGTAAAATTACATAATCTTACTTTAACATTGACAGAACGAACTGTGAATTATTGCCTCACCACACCTGTGTTTGAAATGCTGCAGAAAAGTCAAGAGTACCCAGTCATAAACCCAGTGTTAAAGTAAAGATTCTGGACCTTGATTAAAGATGATGATATGCTGAAAATGTCATGGCTTTGACACAGGTCAGTGATTCTCACAAGTACTGAGCAGATGGAAAATGGAGGACACAACAGCATAAATATATAACTATCTCGCAGTGTATTCTAATACATTTACACTTGTTGGTAAGAGCATGTGTCTCCAAGATCTGACAGTTGTACCAGCTTCAAGCAGCTATTGAAACAGTCTCACAGTCCCTTATTATTTTCCCTTGTTAATAAGAGCATGTGTCTCCAAGATCTCTCAGTTGTACCAGCTTCAAGCAGCTACTGAAACAGTCTCACAGTCCCTTATTATTTTCCCTTCAACCCAGCCAATACTGTACAGCCATAGCCCACCCAGCCAATACTGAAAAGCCATAGCCCACCCAGCCAATACTGTAAAGCCATAGCCCACCCAGCCAATACTGAAAAGCCATAGCCCACCCAGCCAATACTGTAAAGCCATAGCCCACAGCCAATACTGTAGAAGCCACAATAGCCAATACTGTAAAGCCATAGCCCACCCAGCCAATACTGTAAAGCCATAGCCCACCCAGCCAATACTGTAAAGCCATAGCCCACCCAGCCAATACTGTAAAGCAGCCCACCCAGCCCACCCAGCCAATACTGTAAAGCCATAGCCCACCCAGCCAATACTGTAAAGCCATAGCCCACCCAGCCAATACTGTAAAGCCATAGCCCACCCAGCCAATACTGTAAAGCCACAGCCCACCCAGCCAATACTGTAAAGCCATAGCCCACCCAGCCAATACTGTAAAGCCATAGCCCACCCAGCCAATAGCCTGTAAAGCCATAGCCCACCCAGCCAATACTGTAAAGCCATGCCCACCCAGCCAATGCACTGTACTGTAAAGCCATAGCCCGACCAGCCAATGCTGTAAAGCCATAGCCCACCCAGCCAATACTTGTACAGCCATAGCCCACCCAGCCAATACTGTAAAGCCATAGCCCACCCAGCCAATACTGTAAAGCCATAGCCCACCCAGCCAATACTGTAAAGCCATAGCCCACCCAGCCAATACTGTACAGCCATAGCCCACCCAGCCAATACTGTACAGCCATAGCCCACCCAGCCAATACTGTAAAGCCATAGCCCACCCAGCCAATACTGTAAAGCCATAGCCCACCCAGCCAATACTGTAAAGCCATAGCCCACCCAGCCAATACTGTAGCCATAGCCAATACTGTACAGTAATACTGTAAAGCCATAGCCCACCCAGCCAATACTGTACAGCCAGCCAATACTGTAAAGCCATAGCCCACCCAGCCAATGCTGTAAAGCCATAGCCCACCCAGCCAACTGTAGCCCACCCAGCCATAGCCCACCAGCCCACCCAGCCAATACTGTAAAGCCATAGCCCACCCAGCCAATACTGCCATAGCAGCCACTGTAAAGCCAGCCAGCCAATACTGTGAAAGCCATAGCCCGCCAATACTGTAAAGCCATAGCCCACCCAGCCAATGCTGTAAAAGTTTACAGCCAATGCTAGGTTTGAAATAGCCCACCCAGCCAAATGTACAGCCATAGCCCACCCAGACAATGCTTTGAAGCCAGCCATTGAAGGGATTTCAGAACTGGCGATATATGAATAATGGCGATGGGTTAGAAGACACCTGAGCCATAGACGTTTTCCGCAATTTACAGCCATAGTACTGTACCAGATATTGCAGTGTAGATGTGAAAGAGCATGACCTTGACATATTCCCTAGGGACATGTTTGTTGGAAGATGATTCCCAGATTTCTGATTCATAGTCCACCCAGCCAAAGCCACTTAAAATACTTGTGAAACTGATGGTTTGAGCCATAGCCCACCCAGCCAATACCTGTCTGCATGCCGTAAAGCCATAGCCCTAATCAAAGCAAGTTTAGATTTTTGACAGATTCAGATTCTGAATCTCACTGTTCAGTCGTCTGTCTCCCAGACCATAGAGAATATATTCAATAGTTTCTGCTTACACCTAGAATGATTTGGCAAGTCTAAGATTTACTCAGCTTCAGAAATTCTGGGCTCCATCTGGATTTGTTTTGAAGACAAATACATTTGATTATATACTTTAAGAAGACAACTTACTTCTCGGACTAAATGTCAATCTACTGTTTCATTAAAATGGAGTTGTTTGTTTCCATTGAAATTATATAATTTAGAGACAAAGCATTAGTCGGTTGGAACTCCTGCACACAAAATAGTCTTTTGTGTCACCACCTTTATCACCCAAACCCACCTTCAAGAAACTAATCTGTTACTATAGGATCATTAGAATTGTTTTAACCAGGTCTGTGCACACAAACTGAGACTTCAGTGTTGGCAAGGACACACATGCTATATGTACTGCCTAATTATACTAGGGTGTGGCTGCTACAGTGTGTCAAGGGTTACAGCATTGTTGCTCATTATTGCATAACTTGTATAGTTCATTACTCCTACCTTCAACAAAACACTGTGTGGATAAATACACACTACTGATCAAACCTAGACTAATGCATAGTCTCTCAATAGAGATAATTTTGATTGAAACAAATCATTCTAATTAAACTGAAAAGGAGCCCCAGTGAGTTGTCAGATTCAGCCTGAACCCGAGGAAATCTAGACTTGCTTCATTTAGGGCAGTAGCATTGCAGAAAGGGCTGGGCATAAGGGAAAATAATGTGGTTCAGGGACTGTGAGACAGACTAGGTCTGACCTTGCAACATTCAGCAGATTTGTCATGAATATTAACTTGAGGTATATTTTTATGATTGTGATTGACCAAATCAACTTAACCTTCTGAAGTGAAGACAGCTATTTTCCCAAAGTTAGAAGCAAATTTCAGATCATTACAAAATCTGTTGTATTTCTGCAAATTTATCTTAAATTTCACTTTAACATTCAATGAAAAATAAGGCCTTATTACGAAGATGCATTACTGACAATGAATTACCTTTGCACCTAAAATGTTGACAATCCTTAAGCAGCTCCCATAACTGGGGAGACTGGGTCTTATTAGATTCATTTAAGATGCTACATCTTACTCTTAGACTTCAAATAAATGTTCCTAACTTTCAGTCAAATTCAATTTTGGGGATATCCAACTTACTGGGGTAGTCAAATGATCTACTGCTGATATAATTTTCCTACAAATAAGGACAGCAACACTTTTTGACAAATGTATATGAAATAGAAATGACCTTGCGATTCTGTTGCCTAGCAACTAATTAATCTCTCCATCAGTTGAGGTCCCAGCATAA